TGTGCTGAAAACCATTTGGTTAACAAACATGCAAGGTTGGAACTCAAATAGGTTGAATTGGTGTACCCTCCCATATCTTTATTTATTTCTTCAGATGGACACATGTCGAGTGGTTGTTTGATTCCGTGATTTGGGATTAAACAAAGCTGCCTAATTTCACAGCACAGAAGTACAAGCTAGTATTAGTTGAGTAGTCTGCTCCGTACGACTGTATGGAGGTTAGCATCGTTTTTCGCTAGTATTATATCCTCTAAATCAATTCAATTTGTGCTGGAATATCACTGGGCAATTGATGAATCTCCAGGGATATTTGAACCAGCAGCGTTTCGGCATTTCGCTGAACACAATCATTTGCCCTAATGCTCCATTTTGTGTCATTTGAAGGATTCTTTATAAGCAAATTATAAAAACATGAAAGCCCTATCACCTACATTTTGGGCGTTGTTGGTGAAGTAGAATTTAGCATGGCCTGATATCGCTGTTGCACATATTACATCACAGAACAAAAGAATAAGATTATACTCGTACCAGTTTTTAAGAAGTTTTAGCATTTTTAGGAAACCTGCAATAGTCTCACCCGATCATTTATTATTTGGTCAAATGCTACGCAGGAGTATCGATGGAAGCTTCAACGTCACACCAGCGGAAACTATAGAACTCCTCACTTGTCAGCATTACAAATCCATTGGTATCCTCGTTATGTAGAGGACGGAATTACGTTCTGTAGCCTGATTGACAGGACGATACTCTGGCTAAAGGATGTCAACGTACAAACAATTTATCATTGTCGCCTTTCCACGGCTCTTCACCACCTAACACCGTATATTTCTTCCGATTATTAACTACTAACATTAGTGCTAGTAGACTGATTGGTACCAATCGTCGCAGGAATTTCGGTCAACCGACCTGGAAATTTCGCTCGGCCGGGTTGAAGCTCACACTGCATAAACTATGTCCTTCCGTTGCATGTTTCACGGTACTATCCTCTAGAGAAAACCCACGGAGCCATGCGTGCAGACAAAAAACCTCTCGTCATAACAGGTAATCTCAACCGCTATGCAGGGGTAGTATACATAAGTATATACGGTATTCATGTAGCAACTAAGTTTGATGGAAATTCAAACACTAATCCCACATGATAGACCCCAAGAAGGGCAAAACCGGTAGTGATCTCTCGAGATGCCTCACCGACATTATAACTTGGATGGAAAAACACCAGAGTATCTTCGATGTCAATGCACGTAAAGCTGAGCCTCCCGTCAAAACCAGATTAGTTTTTAGGTGGCTAGTTATCACCAACAGTATTCTCATCTTTCACGTAATTCGAGATGACTGTGCTTGGGAACAAAGAAGAGAACATAGAACATAGAAGTTGGCTGGAGAACTACGGCTCTCCCACAAAATATCCATATTGACCACACCTATTCGAATGAAGCTCATCAAGACTTAGATTCGTTTGCAGGCAGCCAATGTAATCAGTGACAACGAAGTTTAGACTGAAGGAGGGCCATGCTGACAGCTTTTGGCCAAAGATTCCGTTATGCAGTGATCGTAGCCCAAATCGTTCGGTAGTATTCATCTCAGTTGCGTGCCGTCCGCCACTGAATTAAACTAACGGTCAAAATGACACTGCATGGGCAGATAGAGGGGTTAAATATCATGGGATATTCAAACGTATCTCACTTGTTATTTTCATTAAACGAACCCGGTTGAAATACTGCAACATTGTATTATTCACAGTAAACTGTGAAAATCTGGGTGAGAATCCGATTTGCAGCAAGAATCGGTTGGATAAGAAATGTTTGGAAACAGCTTCAAATCGCCAAACTTCAAGTGACAAAACCCACAGCCATGCTATAAAGAACCAACGTGATGAAATGGTGGGTTATTGAGGCGAATACCTGCAGTGCATTTGGAAATTTGATTAAAAAGAAATTCGTCAATCAACAGTGAGAAATAGAAAGTTTTACTCGCAATGGAAGAACACAATCTCCGGGAATCTTTTGACATGCTAAATGATGGAAAGTTTTTTTCACATTAAAGAGTGAGGAACTTCCTGACAAGACTTCCTAACACGAGCGAGGGATATTAAAATATCCCTTGGACGATATTTTTAACAAAAAATCTTCGATTTTGGTCGTGGTATGTGCGACACATTAATGAGTGACGCAGTGGACTTATTCTTAACAAATGTTGCAACGATTCTAGTGCAGACTATGGGCTTGCAAAGATGAAGAAAAGTAAAGCTATCATTCTTTACAGTATATTCTGAAGTGTCGTATGTTCTGTTAGTGCTCTTGATGTGAAGTAATTAAGTTGATTATCAGAAGATAACAAGCACTAACAAATGGCTGCTCTACTAGAATGTGATGAATACGATTGTTAGGTGCACTTCATGAAAATAGATACAATGCGGAAATTGGAATTACCCAAAAAGTGGCTTATCGTTTGCGGACAATTGTTGAGAGTCCTGAGTGAAGTTTCGGACGCGGGACGTGTCTTCTCTGCAGTATAGCTGCAACACGTGTTTCGTAGTTGCCCGTGGAGACCTGCGGAGTTCTGTTGACTTCCTGCCCTGTGGGCGCGTGTTGAGCCCAGCTGTATTTCTATTTATTGAATGCAGTGTGAAGATAAGGTGGCCCTTCGTGTTTGATGCTTTCACGAACATGAATACAACTCGACCTGATGTGTTGAATGAAGTTCATAAGCATGGCGCGTGAGGCAAGTGGTAGCCGCGTGAAGAAAATGGTTGAGAAGCTTAAGTGTACATGCTGTCGGCTAGGGTTGCAATTGGGACAGGAATTGTCACGTGGCTTGAGTGTTCGTGACGCGTGATCTAGTGAGTGACCTATACAGTTGGTCTACCGAACTGAATGGCGTAGATTACATTGATACTTGCACCCAAGTACATTAAAGATAGTGTTCATGTTCTGGCCATAGTGAAAGAAAGATGGCCTTCGATGCAGAGTTGTTCACTAGAGAAGCACCAAATGAACACTTACAGACTACTGGACAGGGGAGCAAAGCTTTCACATGCATATGTTTAAAAAACTGAACATCCACCTTCTCCTTGAACGCGTCTTCCTAAACTTTCCAGAATATTCATTGACTGTTCCTCAAATGCAAGCGAATGCTACAAAGCGACTCCAAAAATTCCGTAATAGATCTCATTTTTCAAGGGACATAAAGCGGGTCTACAAGAAGACACTATTCGCATGCCTCATCAGTAGTATCTTCGTTACACTAGTAGCTCTGCACCGGTTGGGGATATTTTCTTCCGGGCCATAAGGTCAGAAAATCACTCTTAAAACGCAGGTCGTTTTATGTGCCCTTCGATTTAGAAGCCTGATTCTTTGCATTCCAGTGTAAAGCAAGGTGGACAAAGAATGTCACCTGAGGCAGAATGGATTTACAGCAAAACTTTTAAATTCTGTCTCAATATGATTACGTACATATTATTCTTGTGAAAATATACGCCTATACATATACGCATGGTTTTTCCCCAGATGATCTAACCAACAAACTGCTCTTTTACAGGCATACGGGAAGACTCAGATTACTAATCAGATATGAAATCAAATACCCATCCATGAACAACAATCAATCTATGCATTCCAGTCAGAATATCCCAAATATATCTGTTGTCAGTGTTTCAGTATACATTTTTTTACTTCCTACAACCCCCACGGCCAATTAAGCAAACTAATTTCTGCAGTTTTGTCAGGCATTTTGTACAACGGGTGACGCTCTGATGCCCCGAGACTGTGCAGTACCCTAAATGGCACTTAGCAGGGTGCCTGTACCTTCATGTTAGAGAAAACAGAACTAGACAGTTTTGTATTTCCAAGCATTCGGTTGCTAGACTAAGCCACTAGCAGCACAGTGGGTAAAAAAATTCCGAACACGCTAATTTCTCCGTGAAACTTGGCCATTTATCTGGTGAAGCCGGGTGATTATTCTAATGGGAAGAATCAGCATGTTTTTCTACGTTTTCCATTGCCGGACAGTGCGAAAAAGGAACTAGTTGTATGAGGGATACCATGTATAACGGTCTGTTTTACTGATTTCGTGAATCTTTCCTGTGTTGCCTCAAACAAACGCTTAGATCTGAATGAAGCAATCAGAGGTCTCAATGACATTAGTTTACTCAGAAAACTCGTGAAGCAATAAAGAAGAGAACAAGGTCATTTGCATTCATACAAAGGAGTTGGGCAAGCAAGGGGGGTTGAGTGTTTAATGGATACAATTTACATTGAGCGCTTTTGTGGAAGTGTAATACGCAGAGCAGTTCGATCAATTAAGTCAGGACATCCCCATCGTTGTTTTTTGGGTGTCGGGTCGGTCTGCGTATGAATGAAAGTCAAAAGAACCACAGATCATTATTGAATTAATAATTTTGATTCAGCAGCTAGTGACTCACAAACAACCCATTTGCGTCGCATCGCAACGGCCTACATTTACTACTGCGGTGATTGCATTAAGATGCGAAAATTGCCATGGTGCTGTCACGAAGAGAAACTACTGGTCTTAATCCTGGTGGTAGATATTTCGTACTGCAACTCAAACATGTATGATACTTCTGGCTTTGTCACCTTTTGGATAAATGATAAACTTGTATTCCGAGATCGAATAATAGAAAGTTTCCGGGCAACTGCTAGGTTTATCACAATTTAAAGCGTAACGATATAGAAAAACCCAGCCAAGATCATAAAAGATAATGTGTACAAATAAAAAGGAATCGAAAATAAAAGTGAGTTTCATCAACAGCTTGAACAATTCTGAGGAACTTTGCTGCGATTACATCACTACTGTTCCTACCCTGATAGTGTCCGTGTGATCTAAGAATATGAGAGCGACCTGAGGCAGATTTGTCAACCTTAATCCGAATGAGTCTCGTGTGAAGCCAGCAAAGCTGAATTCAACATCTGATGTGCTTAGGAGTAACAAGTATTTGAGTTCAGAACATGATACACACAGTTGGATGGCGTATATGGCACATAGCCTCGAATGATACCAACTGTTTTACCCGGTTCTTTAGTGATAAAGTCGGCTGCCATCAACAAACTCAGCCACGTTCCACAACAATAGGAGCTTGAAATACGACTTTTGAGAATCATTTAATTACTACGCAGCGGCGAAGATTAGACGGATTTAAGCGATTCGTTGTAACTAGGACCTCAAAAAAATCAACAAAAGCAATGGAAACGGCGGAAACAAATCCAATCACGTGTGATCCAGACACCAGAAAATTAACCAACACTCAATTGCATGGACATGGTTTCGAAGCCCTCTGGATCATTTTGCGGGTGGAAAGCGCGAAACTGAACTGCAACATTTGGGCGGATGCACGTTCAAAGGAGATCCCTTATTTGAGGTAGTTGTCCAAAAGCCCTGGATAACCCACTGTCACTTTTAACCTGTATTCGCATCGCCAGTTAGATGTTACCCCCATGTCTTTATTAAGTGAAAATTGAAAATCTGATAATAAGATAGGAACAACTGTAAGGAATAAGTCGCTAAGAATCACACATGGGCTGACCGGGGAAAGTTTTCCGCCGTTATGGAAAAAGAGAGACAGAGTTCTTTCCAATCAATTTGACGTAACCTATTTGGAACAATTCATCCATATTTACATGACTTGTATCCTAATTTAAGCACATCAAACATGGAGAAGAGAAACATCGGACAGGATTGCATAGGCAATACTTGGGGACCGGGTTTTGGTGTAGAGGTTAAAGGAAAAAAATTAAAACATCGAAAGCATGAATCACTCCACCGAATCTCCGGATCTGTGGATTATCCGAATTCGGTTATTATTCGTTTGTATAGCGCAGCAAGAGAGTTCGACGAGATGTTTAAAAGAATAAAGAGTATCACGAGGTGTTAGCATGTAGAAATGAATGAAGAATGTAGAGCAGCTGGTTCACTGAATGGTATGTTATCAAGAAAGCGATTGTGCTAGCCTATAATATAAGCATGATAAGCGAAGGGACCGGAAGGTTTGTAGGGCTTCGGATGGGTTGTGGGGGGTGTATTCGGAAACTTCACACATGGATGGGTCAGGGTTTTGAGTTTGATCTAGTAACACAAGTACTTATGAAGACATTAGCAGCAAATGTTGTCAAATTTAATCAGGTACGCGAAGAATAAGACGGGGAAATGGACAAGCCGACAACAAGAAAAATCTGGCCCTAGAGCTTGGTGTAGAAGCTGGAGTAAAAGAAGTAGTTTTCCGTTGATCGATTCAAAGACAGAACGTGAATTGAGATGTCACAAAATTTGCAAGAAAATTAGAGCAAATGCAAGGATAATAGGTAGCCACTTTGAGTTCTTCTGGCCGAAACGCATTGCATTGTTTTCGTCAGATTCCTGTAGGACTGCAGCGACGATGCCTTCCTCTGATGGATAATCCGAACCTAAAAGGTAAGATATATTATATTTACACGACGTTGTCACCTGGATCCTTATAAGCAAACTCGCCATGTTTCTATGAAATCTGTCAAAGCGTTTGGGGTTTGTCGTCATTCATGTTAAAAAATTGTTCTGGAGAAACCCACTGCTGATTGCAAGCGAATGTAGAGTAAACGCATACCGTATCACCTGCCGAGATATGGTTGTGTCGGGAAAAACGTTGGCTGGCAACTCAAGAGAAATTGGCCGCAAAGTTCGTGTGCCAAATATTGAGTAACCTGTCTCATGTTAAATCTCACTTATGAAAACCTGGAACAACTGTTGGCACTGAAGTTACAGTTTGAAAACGACTTTCCAGTTGCTTCTAATTTAACCTGAAGGCAACTGTATGCTAGTTGATTTTTCAGAACATCGCAGAAATCAACCTGGATTATTCCAGAAAAATGCAGGTGACCAGATTGTGCAGTAAACTGAATTTCATTACCACAGTTTCAACACGTTTAACACATTCACGTGCCACATACTGCTGGCTTTCATCGTTGATTGTTTGAAACATGCTCTACTTCCAAGTAAAAACTTAATAAGTGAACATCGGGCCCCGATTGTTCACCATGGCCGGAGCAAAGTTGGCACCGGGCTGGAAAATATTCTAATTTACCTCACAAAGATTGGTAACTGAAATGATGGACATACAACGTGGATATTAAACAAAGCTGTAAGAACAACAATGTTGCGCGGTGAATTCCTTGCGTGCAAACTGGTCTGCTAAAATAAGTGCAGACCTAAATCGGCCAAATGGTACTGACTAGAGGAACTTTGGTCTGTGGTCGACAGTTTCGTGCTATGATCAGGAGAGTGTAGTAAATTATTCCTTTGAACTCAAGACCAGAGTTGAGTCAAATCCGTAGACGGGATATATGTAGGTCTTACTGGGGATGGATGGTATTTGTAGGATAACATTTCCCCGTGCCCTGCTTTCATTTTTGCGTGAAGTCAGTGGCACAGTCAATGACTTCCGTTCCTGTCTCAGTAGACCCACCTCCATGGAACGGTGTCCCATTTAATGTTGTTTATTTGCATGAGAAGCAAAAACAGAACCCCTGATTCAGTTTTCCACGAGAAGAAATTGGGAACTACACGAATACTATGCCCTCTATGTTGAGTAGCACTGCATATAAGTGGTTCGGCAAAAAAGGTAGTGGCTCATTAGGGAAATTCTAAAACTGAGAATGGAAATGAATAAAATGGGCCAGCAAACGTGTCTATGGCCCAAATTCGGGACACTAATGGACGATGAAATATGACTGTCGCTAGATATGGAATGAATTACTAAAGGTTGGAAAATAAAGGTCCGTATCTGATGGTTGCTTATCAAAAGAGGTATGCATCTGTATATTGCTGAGTATCAATACATCTAAATTTGCATTCTAAAGGAATTTGTCAATCCTGATGCACCCTAATTATTTACCTTCTGCTGTACGGCTGCTCTACGGAATGGATTGCATGTGACCCTTCTCACAATGCTTTGAACAGTCGACATAACACATTAATCATAAGGCTGTCGGAAACTCTTCGACAGTCCGTGATTGGTTTCACCTCACTTGTGGCTTAACAGGTAGGCGCAGTCCCGGAGTTTTTGTCAGGCTTATGTTCGACGTGAACCCAAATTAGACGGAATTCCACCAACGCTCTCATTTGCATATAAATTTGGTTTTGACGCGGAACCGGATCCAGCTGAAGCTCTCGGTTACAGTGTTCTTCTTCAGTTGGTCTTCAACAATTGCATCACATGGTACGGTTTTCAGCACTACAATACTACTCACAATGTTTCTGAAAAATATTTGGCAGCTTACCAATATTTTCGCCCTTCTCGGATATTGCGTCTAACTTGTGAGCCCCAAGAAGGGCAAAACCGATGGTCATCTGCCAAACGGTTTTCAGTAGTCTTGTGTGCAGTTCCCTAGAAGAAAACCAAGACAATCCTTCGATGTCATAAACTGTCAGGAAAACAACCAGTAAACAACCGGAATTCGTAGTGACCCTTGTCTTCGTAATGCCAACACTGAATCATGTCTACAGCCCTAGTACTTTTATCCAACCTGCCACGGAGTCTGATGACCTTTGCTCGCTGCAGTGTTTTCACTGGTCTGTGTTTGCCGTGAGATTTTTTACCCCGTTTTCCTACCCCAGTCTCGATTCCGACTGCATGCATACAATTGCGGAGATAGAAGTTTTATTAGCTCCCTGTATTCTGCTTTTTGAAACACGATTCCCCTTCCTGTGTGAGGCATTCAGTTGAGAAAAATAATAGCAGTGTCCAGAATGGGCACGACATGCATACATAACTTACCAAGTAGTTGATTGATTTGGATTAATTTTTCAATATATGAGGGCGTCACCTCTTGTGTAAGAAGCTTTCCCTCCTTTATCTTCATAACAGCACGCGGTCGTCGATAGCGACAACTTATAGACCCATCAATCAATCGCGGGTCTATTCCGGTTTCTGTAGCATTTGTAACTGTTAGCTCAAGCACCTCCGGAGTGAAAACGAGGATTTCTGCATTGCGCGCTGCAATCCTCCGTGATGCGGCCAACAGAACCGGACTGGACAGACCAGGCCAGCTTGCTGGAGTGCTGTCTGTAATTCGCATAGTTGCTTGCAGAAGTTGGACAAGCTTGTGTGATAGGAGATGGAAACGAAGAAAACGAGATTGCTTCCCAAAAACACCCGGGCACAGCGCACTGATCGCTAAATAACTGAACCAAATTTGTACTTTCTTGCATTTTCTGATCAAAACTCAACTTAGGCAGGCAGTTGAGAGTTACGAATCCATAATAAAAACATAATGGGTGATTTTGATCAAACTGGTGACTGATATGGCCGCTTGGAGTTGTATCGGTTTCCAACACTTTTTTCCTCAGGTCTTCGCAATTTAAGCAGTTCATTTGCCATTATTTTAGCTGATTCGCTACCTATGTCAGCTGAGGATTTGATAATTACAGAGCCTAATGTTTGGAATTCGTTTAAATGTTATGGTAGAAGTGCAGTGAGAACATAAAAAACGCTACCTGAGGTCCTTCATTTTCTCTATGATTAATCAGTAGGAGTAACTTGTTTGAACCTCTGATTAATTGATCATCATCTTTTCGTAGAACCCTTTCCAACCAACCAGTTAACGCAAATAATCCTCAAAAATGTTGAAGGTATGTTTTTGGCGGGATTTTTCGGGATCTTACTTTACACTTAAACTGAAAGAGTTTTCCTGGACAATAATTAAAATATCAGACAACAAGCAACACTTTCATGATTGATTCAAACAGAAGTGTACAGCTTGAATAGATTTACCTTGATAGTTGAACCAGGCCAACCAAAAATATATTCTAATCAATTACACAATGAAAGTTTTCAAAAGCTCACTATCGAACATCGCAAAAAAAGTGAGTTGGCTAAAACTTGCGTTTATGCACAAGGTCATGGATGATAAATCACTAGAGCCCTGAAGATTGTTTACCCTCTATTTAACAAAAAAACTTAACAGAATCTTCTCTGTCAGGACGCACCCAGGCATGGAAAAATTACAGGTGCAGATTGAGGCATCTCCAAGGTCACCATCGGCACCACACGTTCGAAAAGCAGGTGCGTTGGCGGAGCTCACCAAACCCGACTTAGCGACACAAGACCAGCGGAATGGGGCTGAAATTGTTCACGCCCGAAACACCGCCGTTGGTTGTAGAGAATGAACAAGTGAACGACCGTATCTGGCCATTTAGCTATCCTATATATTTACGCAGAAGCTCTGTATGTTGTCCTGACAATATAACCGTGCCAAGGGTTCTCTGTCCTCTCCTTATCGTATAGTCTGACAGGTTCAGTTCAGGCGCAACCAATAGACCGCCACCCACGATACAACATTCTCGCTAAATCCTCTTTGAAAAGCAACGTTCACAAAGTGTGATTCCGTCACAAGGTTATGTAAGTTGTGCTTCCTTTCGCATAGCAGAGGTAACCCAAAATATTTGGTCTTGATCAGAGAGTAGGATTGTGCGAATTTAACCGGATCTACTGGTTTCCGACGCACCTAAAGCAATTTCAGTTAGGTCAACGCCTAATCGTCAACTCAAAGGTTTCACTATTGTACGTGTGTTCGTCTTCTATCTCTATTATGATTTATAATTCCTACCTTGTATAATGGAGAGATATGCAAATAATACAGCCTACCTGAAACTGGGTATTTATTATTTATTGAGGATAACAAAAAATTCAGAAAAATAAAGAATATGAGTCTATGGCCAGTTGAAGGTGTTAAAATTAGCCGGAGGAGCACTCATAAGCTTTGCAGTTATCTCCATAGGATATCCTATGCAAAAAGCTTTACGGACAGACTTTATTAATTAAGAACCACTACTGAGAATTAGTTAAGCTTCCATGCAAGGAGGACAGAGTTTAAAAGAATGGGACCGTTAAACAATAAGACAATAGTTTAATCACGAAATAATTCAATTGGTTAGTAAGGATTTGTTTTGTTAGACTCGTGGATGTTGATGTGTGCTTAGACAACTTAAGTAGAGACAAAAGGTGTTAACTCACCTCTTGATTGTCAGGTTCCTCCTTATCGTCCCTCTTACCTATTGGAATTTCCAGGTTGCCAGTCGATGAGACGTAGTACCACTCAAGATGGTCTTCTTCGTGTGCTGGAAAACCTGTACACTTCACAACAACCTGTTGTCTGGATACTCGTCTGGCGCGATCAAGTTTAATCACTGCAGGGGAACGACAAGTCAATGACGGTATAAGTATCGTGTCAAGAATGCGAGTTGAGAGTAGTTTTCATATTTATTGGTGTGTGGTTGTTGCGGTGAAAATACTGCTTCTTTGTGTAGACTGTAATATGTGAAATTTTCATCCGAGGTCGTCGGTTGGAAGGATGTTAAACAGAAATTTGTAGGATAATCAAAGTAAATTAGAATGAATCCCCAGTTGTAACACTATTGTGGTGTCTAGCTGACATGCCACCCGAGTAGGGCGCGAGGGCCGAGATACTGCCACGGTGACCAAGCATGGACATTCGAACCACGAATCTTCGTGTCAGTAGTTGATGCCCTATGTCGAGCCCAAATTTACGGAGCATTTGAAATGCTGCAGTACATTTACAAACATACAATTGCTGCCTTTATGTTAGAGTGTACATGAAGGTTAGCAGCAATAGGCCTGGCAATATATTTACTGTGGTGAATAAACGACTTTGTTCCAGGAAGCATATGCTGTTTTAACCTGTTAACATCAGGTATGCGGTGCTATTGTACACATACATGAAGTTTTGCATCACACAAACGATGTCTATTTGATATTATTTATGCAGATTCCATATGGTAGCTTTGGAATTTTACGAGAGGTAACCTTACACAGTTAACCGGGGATTTGAGCACTAATTTAAGACCTGCATAGGAAAGTTCAACTTCCGAAAAGATCTGGCTCATTATTTTTGCCAGAATAAACCTGCTAAAAATTTGGTTCGTTTTATTCCGGAAGGCACCTATGAAGCGTCCTGAACACAGACCGCCTGTTTACACTTGTGTTAGCGGATGTCATCTACACATTGGGCTCTCAAAATGATCCATTCATTGTCACTATGTTTAATCCACTATCCAAGGGATCCTTGAGCATTTCTGCAGTGCTAAAAGTACAAGCTGCCTGACGGAGGCATTCAAAGGTTACCAGTTGGAGCTGTATGAAGTGAAAATGTGGCGAAACAAGTTTAGTCCACAGGAAACCTTAAGAAGTACGGTTCCAAGCGATCAGTGTTAGCGCGGCATCCCATTACACAATATCGATCGGAGAAAAAGCTGTACGATATGAAGGTTAGCAGCAATAGGCCTGGCAATATATTTACTGTGGTGAATAAACGACTTTGTTCCAGGAAGCATATGCTGTTTTAACCTGTTAACATCAGGTATGCGGTGCTATTGTACACATACATGAAGTTTTGCATCACACAAACGATGTCTATTTGATATTATTTATGCAGATTCCATATGGTAGCTTTGGAATTTTACGAGAGGTAACCTTACACAGTTAACCGGGGATTTGAGCACTAATTTAAGACCTGCATAGGAAAGTTCAACTTCCGAAAAGATCTGGCTCATTATTTTTGCCAGAATAAACCTGCTAAAAATTTGGTTCGTTTTATTCCGGAAGGCACCTATGAAGCGTCCTGAACACAGACCGCCTGTTTACACTTGTGTTAGCGGATGTCATCTACACATTGGGCTCTCAAAATGATCCATTCATTGTCACTATGTTTAATCCACTATCCAAGGGATCCTTGAGCATTTCTGCAGTGCTAAAAGTACAAGCTGCCTGACGGAGGCATTCAAAGGTTACCAGTTGGAGCTGTATGAAGTGAAAATGTGGCGAAACAAGTTTAGTCCACAGGAAACCTTAAGAAGTACGGTTCCAAGCGATCAGTGTTAGCGCGGCATCCCATTACACAATATCGATCGGAGAAAAAGCTGTACGATTCCAGGTAAGATTTATCTGTTTTTTTTTTTAGATCAATTCAACTCTTGCGTGACAAACTTCAGTAAATCTGGAGCAAACAGGGTGTTCCACAAAACCTCGAATCTAACAACAATGCTATTTTTACTCGAAAAAAGCCTCCTGAAGTAAAACAGGTATTCAGTGTTTCTCTTTCATTTGGTTGTCACATTTGAAAAATGCATGAATTTTCAATTTTTTTGGGCAAAAGTAGAACCTATATTCAAGCATATGCCCAGTTGTGCTATGGACAATTACAGTAACTATGTTTTTGAAATCTGACCAAATTGGTGAAAACGGGAACGGAGGGTGAACAGCTTTTCCATATATGATATAATCCGTATAGGAAATGTTTAGCTCTAAGCTTGTGTTATTCTGTCATTTTGCAAGACAGTACCTTATCGTTTTCGCAGATTCTGCCGTTTTATTGTTCTCTTATGGAGTCGCCGATTATTATTCAGAGGTTTCTGAAGATAAGGACGCTAAAAATTACGGCATTTTTTCGAATAAGAGGCTGTTTCGAAGATAGGCACATCTGCTTTCATACTTAGAGTACGTCCTCTAAAAGTCATTCCTCTGGAGGATTCATAATTATTACCATCTTTTCCGTATACAAGTCACTGAATTGGAGCTGTAGAAGCCCAGTTACTTGAAACCAGCTTGACTCCTAATCATCTTCCCACGTTTTACAGTCCCATTTACTTAGCCCAAGGCCAGTGCCTGAATTTGGTCGGCCACCTTGGATTGCGCCACCGTAACATGTCAGCAAGCTAAACAATGTTATTGCGCTTTGGCAGTCTACTTACCGACTATGTACACTTAGACGTATCTCAACTGACAAGGTTTATTTTTCCTTCAACTATGACGCCAACAATGTAACTAGAGCTGCTATATAGCTTCGAAATGATAAAGCATGCAGCTTTTGTGGACACCTAGCAGGTTGTGGCACACAAAACGGTAGTTCCTGAAGACTCACCTGGAATGGAATCTAAATGAACGCTTGCACTCGTCTTGGGAAGCTCCATAGTTTCCCTCGCAAACTGTTTACTGTCGCCGGACATTGATTTCAGTGCGCATGCGAATTCGCCGGCCGAGGCAGGAGAGTTAATCATGCGCAACTGGGAGCTACGAACATTATCTCCATTAGACAGTTCAGCGTTTTGGTTAGTGATTTTTATTGATTCGTCCTCCAATGATGCATAGGAGACGGGGGTCCATGGATGGCCATCACCTTCACGCCTGTACCATTCGACCTTCTGATCCGCATGACCAAGTAAGGCATTGCATGTGATTGAAAAAGTTTCGCCAGCCAACTGTGAGCTATCCTCGTCAACTACAATCCGGACATCTTGGAACAAAAAAGGGGTGAGCAGTTCGTGAGTAACGATACAAAAACGATTTGATATCAGAATGGGGCACATTACTGATATCAGTGGGATTTGAACGCCAAAGCCGGCCTCTGCCTAGGACTCCCTAGTCCCTTGAACAAAACACACCACAGATTTGACCGAAAGTAACTATCGCAGAATGATAAATTGTGCCAGGTCACGAAAGAAAGCGAGCCGCCATTTGAAGCGGATTTATGGAAGAAAAGCAAACGTAGAAAAATAATTCAATAATTCATTTTTCAACCTCATTACGAGCCATTAATAATGAGTTTTGCCGTCATTTCAAAATAAAATAATGATACATCATACTTCAATGAAGGCCAAGCTCAACTTTGGGAAGTTCCGTTGTTCAATGAAACAACGTAGCTTCATACGTTTGCCCCATAGGGTGCCATCACATGCGTGCACATCAGCCGTCAAACACTATTACGTCACTGGTTACTATTATTGGTACCCCGGAAGAGCCAACTCCACGGGCCAGATGGAAAGATTACGGAGAAGCTGTTTTTCTAAACATCATGCTCACCCCATGGCTGTCGGCAGGTTTCCGTCAATCAATGTGGCGTGCAACATCTTTCAAGCAAGGCACTGAATGTACTCATATCATAGCAAACCATCTGTTAAATAAAAACTAACAACCGGTTTTCTCACCGTTCCGCGTTTTTTTCACGCTCTGCACCTGGTCCATTTTTGTCACGGATATGTGGTCATGATAAAACTTATGCTTGTCAAGTCCAGCAAATTTCTGTTGAATTTTTCCACGCAAAAAGTATAGAACATAGAGGTGGAATAGATTGTTTTTGGTAACGTTCTACACTTTTTTACTCAAGTGATTACCATTAATCCACCTGGAAATACTAGGGGATTCCAGCTTACGTGCACGAACCACCTGTCGACCTGCTTGCTTCAGTTTGCGAACTTCAAAGTCGGCGAGGTAGACACTCGGGGTTTGAAAATATACCTTGGCTGTGGAGCATCTATATCAACATTGATGTTTTCGCCTTTTAGGGTGATGATGAACACTAGGGGCATGTCATTTGTGCTTCCTCCAGGGTTTCTTCATGAATACGGCATTTATAAGCCCTTTATTAAACTTGCTGTTCACATTGCAGCTTTCGTGCTCACTGTCAGCATCCGCGCTTAAGGGCGTTTATGGACGTTGAGTCCAAGTGGAATGTTAGGAAAGAAAGTTATTACCAAATTCTAAAGACCGCGGAATATAATTCAGCATCACATGTTCCCGAATAGTCATTTCGTAATCATAAACCATAATGCAGTTCCTATCTAATCCCTCCCTTTTTTGTTACTTTTGCTTTATCTTGATGTCCACAGAACTTTGTTCTGATATCTTATCAACAAGTTTGACTGCACTAGCTAAATCCTAATTCACTGCCCATGTTTTCGGTTTTTTTTAGAATTATCATTCGCAAACGAGTCGTTTTGCCGGTCGCACAATTTTGCTGCCGTATCTGCGAGGCCTGCAATGAACTCTTCGTGAAGACTGACTTGTTAATTAGCAGTATTAGCCAATATATACAAACTTCTCTGGCACCTCTTTGGTGGTTGGTATGCTACCGATCAACCAAATGAAAAATATCACAGAATTGTAACGATGATGTCTTTAAATTTTAAAGTTTTTTTTTCCCAAAGGAACTAAACCAAGGCCGAAAACAATCTAAGAATCGTTTTCACTTGCACCTTTGTTCATCGACCTGTTTACCTTCTTGCATCTTCAGCTTGAAGGCACGGTGATTGTCCGTCCCATCTTGTTTACACAAGTACTGACCAGTCTGAGCCAGTTTCACGCGTGGAATATGTAACAATGAAATCGTGCCCTGTTCATTTTTCACATCCGTCACATAAGGTTCCTCTCGCTGACGATCTTTACGCACCACTGCGCCGCCCGGTGAAGTCCACGTCAGCGTGCTTCCCTGATGGGCACGGCATTGCACCGTGATAGGATCAGCTACATTCGCCACATGAGATTGAATATCGAGCTCAAGGACTGGTGAAAAAGGAAAACAAGTTTAACGAAAGATGACTGAATATGTCAAAATCATCACTTGTGATGCAGTATGGAATGCAGCGGAATACTTTAACAAAAACAGTTGCAAGTCGAAAATATGCGTCGAGTTGTAAGCGCTCGGATCGAGAATTCTGATGCAACCTCTGAGGATTGATGGAAGCTTTGTTAAGAGAATCTTATCCGTAGCCATTGCAACGCAAGTCATCATTCGAATTGCTTATGTCCAGATGTGTGACTCTGAGATGTCAGTAAACCCAGTTGTTACAAACATGCAGTTAGCAGGAAATATTTGGATCGAGATCGAATTTATCAACACAGGAAAAAATGACCGTCCATCACTAGCCGAGCCCTTCACCAGGAGGCAGGAGGATATTTAATCCCCGTCAGTTGTTATGCCATTGTTCTGCACTGTCGCCCGAAACTATGCCAACCGGTCAGCGGAGGTTAAGTAAACAAGTCGTTTCGAATACACAGGTGGTTTTGTTGCCCAGAAACGCTGCACTTACAGCTCGGTTGTAAATGCCTAGCCATAACATCTGTGCTGCAGACGTTACTCATGTTGCTTAACCAGACACATGACAACAGAACCTGATATATTTGGCCTGCCATTTTGCTGCTAGGGACTTCAAGCCAAAGGAACTTCCGTTCCTGACAAAACGCGGGATGGTTGAAATGATGCATGATTCTTTGACAGTAGGGTTTTACACACCGCATTCATACCTAAAGAATAAAGTGATTGACATCAACAGCATAAGAAAACGAGATTAAGTACAGAGAATATCCCCCCCCCCCCCATAAAAAAGAAGGACTCATCAGTTGTGATTTGGAATTTTTTTAAGCTGCCAGAGGAAACGTCTCACAAAGTAAACCAAAAAATTAAGGGCTCAAAATGCACGTGTTACTCGATTTTTCGTTACACCCCGGTGTGCTGCAGCTTCGTTCAGCAAATATAGTAATCGATTCGTCTATCGCTCCGCCAAGCTCCAGAAATAACAGACAATTCGTGCTGAGGTCATTAATCAGTTGCATTCTAACTGCAGCCCTATTCCACGGGATTGCGCAGGCAAAGTGGCGGATTTGCAGATGATGTTTTCATGACTAGCCTTGTGAATCTCCCTAATCAGGTATTCATGTACAGCTGCAATTATCTTATCTCAGTTACAACCAACATCCTCTCACGAGGCCCCTTGTAACGCACCGCATAGTGGGCCATGACTGGCTTCCCTAGCCTTGGTACACGATGCTTTTCTGCTACTAAATGAAAAGCTTGTTCATGTGTTCTACTGGGGACGTTTGATGGACATCTGCACACCTGAATCAACCTCTGCATCTCAGTACTATCGACGGCCAAGGACTGAAGCGCAGTATCGGCAGCTGATGGTAATATGCTCATTTTATCCTAGGACTGCTCAGCAGTAGATGGAGGCCAGGTAGCACAACCGCTCCCGTTGCGTTCAAAACGAGCTCTGCTAGGAATCGTTTGCTTGAAGGTAGTTGCAAATGGCATTCTCCTTTACCGCTGAGTTTTCCTTTCACACTAAATATGTCACCAAAACGCGGTTCACATGTGCTGCGCTCTCTGAACTGTCCGCTGAAATCTAAGACCACAATGCGCTAAGATCATGTCCGGGCTCTTCATGGTGGACAACAAATTAGTCATTGATCGAAGTTGCCTTTCAATGAATTAGAGCATAAATGGAGGTGAATAATACGGCATCCCGTGTTGCGACCAATGCCTGTTTTTGTTGAAAGGTGTTTCCACCTGTAAGGCACATCTAATAAGTGGATGTCATTGGATTTTAGTCTACCAAATGATTCACTCACCATTCACGACCACTCTGACAGTAGGTGGTACATATTGCACTCCGACTTGAGAGGCTACTGAAGGTTTGATGAAGCAGGCATACGTGTTGGCTTGACCAGCTTCAACCTCTTCGAAGACGAGTTTGACTGTCTCCATATTTTTTGGGTCACTTTCGGTCGCAGTGACTGTTTCAATACGCGTTCCATCCGGCAGCTGCGAGCCATCCGCGCGCTTCCACTCGAGGCGTTTTTTCAATGAATCGTTCGGGCCAACAGCTCCTGTGCACTGAATTTCGAGACGATCTCCTGGCTTTACAGAAACTTCACTAGATGACACAAACACCTCTAAATACGAGGAAGTAAAATTTGATAAATTGGTGGTGGTTAGCAAATCATACAAGAAGAGCGTAAAAGGATAACTAGCTAAAGTTGTGCAGAAAACTTTTCGTGCACTATAAGTATGCCATGTCGTTTTTTTTGAGGTCTTCGTGATGAGGTCCTAGAATCCAAAGAACTTTATGACTGCGCAAATAACTCAGTATTTTTGGGTCCCTGCACAGTTATGTGTGTGAAAGTGCATAAACTTTATAAGCGGTTTGATTTACTTTTAAACAGACATAACTCCATTCGGTCAGTAAGTACCTGAAAGTAAGTAAGTAAGTAAGTAAGTACCTGAAACACCTGATGAAAAATACACGTTCAAATTATTGGCAGATTTACTAGTAGATCTGGTCTTATTCCAATCACTTCATGAGCATGACCGAAGCATATTCATATCAATTTAGTTGGCTTAACGTCACCAACTGAAGGGAACGTTTATTGTCAAGTTAAAACACGGAGACAGTTAAACGATTTCTGGAAGGATACTAGCTTAGAGACAGTCTCAGAACGCATTCACCAAACTCCCTATTCATCTTTGCCATTTGAACTTGCACTGTGAGAGATAATAGGTATCCCGTGGTTGTTGTGTAGAAGCCTGAAGATGGCTAAGGAAAGCAATCTAGAAGCTCAGAACTTTACGCAGTATCCCATAGCACATCGGCTGCACATGCGAAACCGAGTCCCGTGCCAGGAAACATTAATAGTGGGAAAAATACAACCAAGAAACGATTTGTAATTGAAGCGTGGGAACATCTGGGTTATATGTGCAGACATTGTGGACCAAATAAATTCATATTCCCTTGGATTATTCACACACCGAGGAGGACCGTTAATTACTCATGCGTTCATCGAGTAATATATCACATGTGAATTGCAGCAGAGTATTCCTGGAGGGATATTTATAGGTTTCGCAGGTTGCTCCAACTACTCAGAGAAGATTGTTGAGTCAGCTGATTACATCTACGGGACGCAGTCAAGGGTCTATCATGTCATTCATTCGTCTCATAAAAAGACTCTATCTACTTATCAGTTAGTCCGACCAAATGATCTTAAGACATCGGGGCTGTGAGCCTGTATCCATGCTTTTGCACAGCTGGGAAAACGTTCCCTGCGCCAAACTCTTCAGTACTTATGACCTTGTCTCCTTAAAACAATATTGCATATTCATGGCAATAAAGCCGTTCAAAAAACGCCCAGTAATCATTCCCGATATGTCCCTGTAATAATTGTCTAGACTGTCGAGAGAGGTAACACTAGTCGGGGTCCAATCTCAAAAATAAATTGTTCACGGAATTCATCTAGCAAAAAATCATAAAACGCAAAAAAAACATAGGTAACTAACAATGCATATTTTTCGGAACGATTCAGTGAATTATTCATGGGATTCTTCGTCATTTGTCTGTTGGTCAATAAATAACCTAGTTTTTGTGCTTTCAGACCGTTTGTACTTTAACCTAGACTGACATGAATGTCCCCATCAAATAAATGTGACAGAATACAGAGAACCAACAGTACAATAACTAGGTTACTGTCTCGTGCTGCGGTCGGAGCAAGGCGCTTCATTATTGGAAACCAGTCCAGTCCACCAGGCTAATTTGCCCGTTGCCAAAATCCTGCAAATGAAGCTCCACATGACCGGATTCGCTAACATCCCCTGCCACTGATTTCCTTAGGTAAGGGACACTTCAAGCGATATCAGCTTGGTACGTTTAAATAAATGCGGAAAAATACAGATCCTAATTTTGGCCGAGGTCCAAAAAAATGAAGGAGAGATTTTCAATTATCTTTGGCTCTAAATAGGATTTAGCCAAACAACATCAGAGCTGAAATTATTAGCTCTTTTCTGGGGATCTACTGAACTGAAAACGTGAAATATCCTCGAGAAAAAGTGGTGGAACACGTTGAAAGTTTCACGCCGATGTACTGAATACGTTGAACTCTATTGGTCACATTGAAGTACTGAAGAAAATTTAACAAATACATTCGGTTGCATGTGAATTTCGCTTTCATGAAAGACTCGAATGAATCTCTCGTTTACAATAAGAAGTGTGAAAGCGGCGGTGAGCTGTCAACAAGCTTTTTATTAGCTTTCTTTACGAAGACCACTCATTTTAAACTAGGATGCATTTTATGATTTTATACGGTCGATTCAACCCGTCCCATAGAATAAGCTTCCTTGTTCTCCTGAGTCATAGTTGGGCGAAAAGATTATTGAAGTGTATCGTAGCATATCAGTATCCGGTTGGTGAGAGTTGGAATAATCCATCGGAATGTATGGCATGTGCAAATAATTGATATAACACAGTAAATCTCAGTCTCCAGTTATTTCCGGATTGGACGACATATAGACCTGTTTAGGTTTTGAAGTATGTTTTCAAGGTTACTGAACACCCGACAGAATAATCGTGCGCTATCTTTTATGTTAAATATATACTGTGTATGATTCTTGATGAACATACTACCGATATCGTCGCCCGAAATTTTAACATCTCATGACCCGCTTTTCCCTTCTTGAGGTTCAAGAATTCGGCCTCGTCCCCGAATTCCCAAAGAAATAGAGGTGGGTATGATGTTTACTGACTGTCCTGCCATTTACTGATATATATATATATATATATATNTTCCACCCACAGAAAGCTAAGCCTGGTTCCCAAAACACTTCAGCTGACCACGTGGTTTCCAAGGTTTAGCTGGGGTGATGCTGATTACACCCATATATGAAGGTTGCTTATTTTTGGGTAGCCTGCCTCACTCACCAGCACAGACGATGTGACTGCTTGAAATCTTGTTGTACCCGATTACCGCAAGAAAATCCCGATTGCTGTTGCATTCACGTTCATTCCATGGGGAGAATATATATAGAATCAGAAAACAGTATGAACAACAACACGGCTTTTGAATAACATGGATTTACCTATACATACATGGCTAACGTTACAATACTGACCGAAAAAGGCTCCAAGTTATTGCACACTTGATGCTCATGATCGGGCTCTCAAGGTATCAGAAGATTGGTTTTATCGCACCATATGTGACTTCCTGCCCGCCTACTGACCGAAAAAGGCTCCAAGTTATTGCACACTTGATGCTCATGATCGGGCTCTCAAGGTATCAGAAGATTGGTTTTATCGCACCATATGTGACTTCCTGCCCGCCCATTGTAATATTTTTTCCGGTAGGAGATCATTAACGAGAGATTCTGTTGAGCTACTCGTATGAAAACAAATCAGTAATGCGTGAATTTCGAGATTTTAAGCACTCCAAAACCTTACCTGTTTACAACAAATTGCACCTGAACAACGCCAGTTATACTCTGAAGTTTAGCTGTTTGCTAAGCAGCCTTTGACGAAAATCAGCTTGTGTAGTTATGGCTGCTACTTTTACTGAACAATGCGTGTTAATTTACTGATGAACTTTTTCCTGCAAACGGCCATGATTCATACTAAGCCACATTGTATAACGCTATTAGGTGGGCCAAATAATTTTTGGGTGACCACTCAGGCGGACCTGTTTGTAAAGTAGGCAGACTTCAACCAGCGTTGCTGAGAGTGCTCAGCACTAAGTATCAGTATACAATATCACAACAGCAACTTACCATCCGATGTCCAGAACACTTCAGCTGCAGACCGCTCGTCTTGAATGCCCGTTGGATAAAGCACAGTTGCCTTAGGGAGGAATGATTCATTGGTCAAATCAAGTACAAAGAAATTGAAACGTGTCATAAATAAAAGACAAAAATAGTGAAGCTGCACACAGTTCATGGGAACAAAGAACTTGTTGACCAGTCTCTTTTCTGTAACACTGACGCTCACTTAAGCAATACACTTCTGTTTTGATCTTATTGATCGGATTCGTTGAAGACAGAATGCCAGTTTACCCCATCAACAGAGTATTGATGTTAGGAATCACTCAGTCACTTTTCGGAATTTGTGAACTCTTTAAGGACGCCGTTTTTATGCTCCCTTCATCGCAAATATTTTCCGATTTTTAGGCAAAGAGCCTAGTAGATATACCTGGCTTATCTTCTGGAAGAAGGCCATAAAAGACGGAAACTAGTCAACCTCTGGTGACCCTCATGACAATCTTGAGAGTTTGTTTTGGTGTTCTTCCATTACGCAGTACCTCGTCATTGCCAAGTATGCATAATGAATGAGCCCGGCAGAACATGGTGTTTGAGCTCAAGTCACCAAAATGTCAGTTTAATAACTTATCCAGTCAGTCACCAGAGAAATGTTACAAGTAATCCCACGTATCATTGTTCTCCAACTGAACTAAACTAAAGAGGTAAATTTACGCTCAAAAAATGCATTCAGTGTTTCCTCTGCTAAACTTCTACTTATATCTGCTTGTAGTTTTGCGAACGATTATTTTCGGTATCATCTCAAATGATAACTGCAGTTTTGAATAAAGCACAACAGGAGTGCAAAAGGGTGGGATATTTATGTCGCACGAAAAGCCCCAAGGAAAAGTGGTACCCAGATAACTTCATACTCAAACATCTAAGATGAACTGGTAGAGAAGGAACAGAAGGAATTCTGTCGGTTCCAAAGCTGTCTATTTCCGACTTTCAAAAACAATAGCCCTGCCGAAAGAAGCGTGTCCTCCCTTGGGAAAAATCGTTTCGTACCTCAAAAATTAGGATTTGTACTGGTGGTGACCGTTGACTCCATAGCAGCTTCAAACACAAGATGGAAGTCCATGCCAATCGTATCCTGTTGTTTTCGAAAGTGACACAAACTATTTTGGCCGTACAAAAAGATATCTGTCTCAAGGCCGCCCTCAAAAAACTCCCACAAATGCCGAAGTAACTGCTATTATATCACATCAACTGCCCTAGTCATGTAATCACCCTTTTCCCACCTAACTCCTCGTTCGACGCACTTAGGCGGGATTTCGCAATCCGGTTATAATGCTTACAACTGTACTTTGCAGTTCACATTTCGTCGACATTTGCTGCAGAAACACCTGTTTTCACAAAGCACATCCATATTCAGCGGGCTTATATCGCCTTGACTTACAAGACAGACACAAATGCGCAAACTGCCACGCTACTACGATGCGCACTGCGTCCACCGCAAAGATAGGATCAATGCATCTGATGTGCTCACTCACTCTCGAATATTTTTGGCAGTTAAAGACCAACAAAGCCAATCAATTATTCATTGTCTTCATGGCATAAATGGTTCATAAAAAAGCATTATTTGAGATTTTGGCAATGTTGATAATGTTGATATCAGAGCCATTACAGCGTTTCCAGGACGTTCGTCTGATGTACAAACGTACTGATGATTAATGGGTAGTTGGTTTGTTGTCGGTCCCCTTTAACCTTGACTAGGCCCGGCTAAAAAAGTTGCAACACATGTATGTCAGTGGTTCTCACAAGCATTTTTATGGTCAGTTATCTTTCAGGACCTCGAATGAGGTGCTCAGTAATACAGGTGGCAAGAAATAAACTAACTGTGACCTTTCACCACTGACGTACCGGAAAACACGGAAAGGCAGAACCCATAGCTAGAAGTGCTTCGCGAGGTTTTCATTCACACAGTAGCAAAGGTTGCATTAAGGCACATTTAAAAAAGAATGCGGAGAATGGATAATTAATTGTACGACACATGAAAAAGAGTAGAGTAATTATTTCTTTAGTCGGATTTTGAGTAAACAGATGCATCGGAAAGTTGGAAAAGCTGAAGAGAAAATATGCTTCGAATTTTCGCTGTCCTATTAAAGGTGGCAGATAAAAACCCTCTGTAGGACAAAGCAAATTTTCATTTTGTATTCGCAATTAGAAATAAGTTACAAGATCGGGTTATAAGGAAGTATTATTTTAATCGTACTTTTGACGTATTAGTAGTGAAAGAATGGAGGAGAGAATGTTACGTATTGACGATGGGAGAGGTTGCATATCAGTAATAAGGAATGATACCATTTAAATTGCCTAATAAACAAAAAACTTGAACAGACAGCGTTTGTTCTAGACGCCCTGAACTTATCCGTTTGTAGGGTTTACCTGAGATTTGTTGATTCGAAGCATTTTAAAACCAGGAAGCACTTTTTGAGAATTGTTCTGCCCCATTTACAATAGGAAAAGCTATTCATCATTAATAATTAGTAGCGAACGAAGGAACTTGTGGATGATCGTAAGACGGATATAGAGTTTATGAAAAGAAGAAACTTTGATATAGAAAAGTGAATAGAGAGTCAGCGGGCCTCGAAAGTGTTTTCCGAATTATTGTGGTTTCATGGTTTCACAGGACCGCTATGAAAGCTGAACATGTGCTGACCAAAGTTTTCCATTTGGTCCCTATCGTGTGTCTCGAAGCGAGCTTTTAACAGCTTTCAAGCCATTTCCAATTTGTTTCATGTCCAATAACTACTTTCAGGATTTGCCATATACTGTTTCCAGGGGCTAAGAGGCCAAGTCTGTACTCGGAACAGCAACAGAGATTACGTTGGATAAGATCTGAGGCTGTCAGCCACCAGGTATACCGGATAACTTAAGTAAGAATAGGGTCTGGGACTCATTGGATCCTACATTCCTAATATGGCTTTACTTGCTCCGATTATGCGAGTGGCGACGAGATAAAAATGTTTAACGCGCATTATTTCCCTTTCTTAGGGGATTTGCCTGTCAAACATGAAGTAATGAGCAGTAAGGCTGTGTCAGCTGCAAGCTAGTTCGCAAGCGATGTCATCTTAGTAAAGATCCTGCCTAACACCATGTACACTCACACAAATTGGAAGGCGAAATCAAAATATTCTGATGACAGAGTATAGGAAAATTGTCAGCGCAATAACAGTACACACAATGATCCCACCTGGCTATTCCATTAAGCCACAACAAAGTGTAATCACGTTAAAGCAGATGATCTGGCAAGAGGAAGCATTATCATCACCAGGATATCTGTAACTACAAATACGCTCATCACTACAGTCTAAAACATATATAACAGAAATGACGGGATTCAACCAAAGTGTGCAATTACGATATGACACAGTACTACCATGCAACTATACAGTGCGGGCTACTTTAGTGTAAACATATGTGATCCGGATGTAAATGGTTACTTACTTTGACCTCGTATCTTCGTCCCGGCTGAAGCTCCTTTATTGTGTACCATTTTCCGAAATCAGAACCAAGCCCACCCTCTTCGGCCTCAAGATGAAATCCATCAACCAATTGATTGGGCGTTGCTGTTCCTGGACTCATCATCAGGAGAGCAAGCTTTACGGTAATTGCCGGATTGTCCCGAAGGCATAATGCGGGCTGGCTGGGTATGACGTATATCCGGGCAGTTCGATTGGCCGCAGATTTGTCCCATTTCACGCCACTCTGACCTGGTAAAAAGATAATGGGTTTTTTTCAGAGGTAATGTACTATTTTCATGCGACGACTTTAACTCTGTCAAGTAAAAAGGCGTCCAAAACAAAAAAGCGAGACAAATCAGTATGTCTCGTGGATTGTAACGCAAATTGTTTACCAGCGGTGAAAAGAGTAAATCTATCAGAAAGGTTTTAAGGAAAGTAATGTCTAATGCTGACGCAGAGACGGAGAATTCGTAATAGACATCCGGGCTTACACAATCTGAACAAAACGACAGCAGTATCCAGTTGGGGCATAATCCGAGCACGCTTTGCTTACAGCAGAGCGCCCCATTGACCCAACCACTATGTACATGGGCTCATGTGGCATACATGCACTGGAATTTCACACTGCTTTACCAAATCTCTACGATATGACGGGTGGTGGAGTAAATCTCCTTTATAATCGGTATGGACGTCTGATAGTGGACTCGTGGGGCGGATACGAGTGCACACGAGGGTCATGGCAGTTCAGCTGGTAGAGCGAAAGTCCGGCGAGCCACGGTCTCCCATGCACGTTCTTTTCTTACACTTTATACGCGCAAGTTCCCAAACAAAACCGGTCATTCCTCAGAAGTGAAATCGTCAAAAAACGAATGCATGTTTTGAACTTGAGTGTACAAAGCCTACGGCATCCAAAACAATAAACAGTCGCCATCCAATATGCTCCAAACCATTTTCCCAAAATCCATAAAATGGCATGTCTCCAGGCGTTTTGGCAGTCATCGGTGGACTGTGGGAATGCCATTTGTTCAAACATTTGTGCCACATTTGCCGTCCTTTGTGAACCTGTACAATCAACCATAATCCACTAGAATCCTAGCTGATCCAACCGACCTTCCTGTATCAGTTAAAGCTTATCATGGAAGACATACGTTTGCACTCTAATTTGTATTTTAGAGGGAGATATAACTTAGGCGAATGTTCTGTTTATGATATTCATTAACTAAATGCGTTACAAAAAGCTTCCTCGTGTTATAGTCAGTGCGACATAAGAAATCTCTGAATATATTTTCTGCAAGGAATACTATTTACAAAGTTGCTGGAAACCTTTGTAGGCTGTCGAGATGTTTTGAGTAATCAAACGAGAAGTTTCACATCGAGTTACCACCTTTTTTTCTTTAGCCGTAGAAGCAAGACGCAGAGGAGCGACAAACACTGAACACACTGAAAAGCCTCCGGACATTCCTCCACTACTTCATCCACTTCCGAATGGTGTTTTGGTGTGTAGTCAGTTGGAAAATCTAATGAACTTTAATAAGTGAATTTAATTTGCTCAAATAATAAATAGTTAGCTGATACACTCAGGCAAATTATTGAAAATGAACCTGGAAAATTTTTCTCAATATTACAACGCAGGCGTAGATTGGAAGAACACAACCCTTAGTATTGCTACGGCTCATTTTATACATTTTTTCTGACAGATGTAGTTGAAGGAAGGCACTGATTGGTTAATTTCAGTTTGTTTATTTTTCTCCTCTAAGGACATAAGTACTCGCTAAACAGAGATCTATAACTCTTTTGTTCACTGGCTTGAAAGGAAAAAGGAAGAATGCACACCATGCTAGTATCTGGTTGCTGCTTGGATGACTCGCTATTGCCCTTCCTCTAATTTTCTGATTTGGAGAAACTTGAGCTTCGGCAGGATGAAATAATAATGTCATCTGGCTGTCCAAAACTAACAATTGCAAATGTTGTCTACATTCGGAATTCTAAGATGAGTAGACTGTCAAAACAGGTAAAGTGTAAGCTAACTGATGGGCTAGCAAGCGTTGTATCTTAATATGGAAACAGAGATAAAAATGCGCACGTCAACATGTATTTTCAGAACATTACCTGTTCGATTCAGTATATTTTCAGCCTAGGTATGGGTTGTTTATTTTACATGTTGAATATAACAGTCGCCCACACAACGCGTTAAAAAAGACTTTCGATATGATTACTTGTTTATTCACTACAGAGAGTAAATATATGATTTCACAGGAGTTCCCTAAAAAGAAACATTCCCCAGGAAGGAGACTTGTTCCCATTTTAACCTGCCTTCAGAGAGGGAAGGTTGTTGGTTCCGTGATTGGTTATTCTTCTCCTCAAAAGACATGCCACAATAAACGTACGAATGTCTGTGACCCTGCTGCATTGGTGCAGTGGTACTCCAACAATTATTTCACACATGCAGCGAGCAAAGCACCCAAGCTAATGAGTGTACTCCACTTGCTTGGATTATATTCAAAGTAGCCGAAAATTTGGTCTTATCTACGCACACAGTAGTAGCTGCTAGACCACAAGCTCAACATTAAGCTCTTTATATCCGCCGCTCTCGTTTTGGTTATCCAAGATCATAAGTAAAACCGTCTTTTCAAACCAAGAGCTCTGTTGCAACAGATGATGCAAACCGCGTTGCTTTTGAAGCGATTAGCGCATTCTTTATGGAAACCCAGTGACCATATTTTGAACTGAACGTAGGGCCGTAAACCAATGCATAAACTTTTCCAAATCCCAACGTAGTGGTTATATCGTGTTGTCTAATGAAAATGAACAAACACTGACAATATAGATATCGTAGACTTACGAGCCAATATAAAAACCGCTTTAAGCACAGAAATAAAGCAACCGCACAAATGTGGGTGACAACTTGGAACCGCTCCATTATGTGGGCTAGATGATATTCAAAATTTTCGTTTATATTTTCCATGCTTTTAATTTTTAGAACGATTATATGTTTGAAATGCCTGACATTTAGAGAAAAAATGTGATTTCGACTGGCCAAGAGCCCGACCGACACACGAGAACCTCTTGTTTTTTATCTCGGATATCATTCTATGGTGTTTGTCCCCAACACTTTAGGAATGAAGATTTTCATCACTGAATCCACTTTGGTTTGGTAAAGAAAAAGTTTTCAAAGTTGAAATAAAGTGGAATGGAAATTTTGAATTTTGTTTTTTAAACTTGTGTAATGGCGGAATATCCTGTTTTTGCGATTGAGTGACACTCAGGAGGACAGCGACCAAGTTTGATTATGGATAATGTGCAAAATGCGACCCAGAATGAGGAAAGGAAATATAGATGGAATATATATATGGAATATATAGAAGGAATATAGATGGCCTGCTGAAGTAAGTCACGTCAGCATTGAAAACTCTATACAAAGTAAAAATTTCAAAATCTGTCAAAAGGAATGTTGCACCTTCCGAAAGAGCAGGATGTTGTATTCGTATTTTTAAGTATCTTACCTTGAAGGCTGCATAAATTTTCAATTTCAGTTTTTAATGAATCTCGTATTCTCCCCATTGGTGTTATTATCCGAGCAAAAACTTCTGACTGAACGATTTTTTGACGGCGTGGTAGAAGTACCGCGTACGGATAAAAGCCAGGTTTTCGTTTGGTTGTTTTGGTAGTAGAAATGTACAAACAGAACGGCATATTGTGGCAGAAAAACGTTTTCCGCTATTCTCCAATAAGAATTTTTCTCTTCAGTAGTGGAAAAATTCATGTGCAAGTGAGAAGGTAGAACTCACCAATTTTTCCTTTAGATATAGCAACGTTTGATGGCACTCCTTTAATTGATTCTCCATCGATCGTTTTAAAGATTGGTGTGACTTCAATTTCATGATCAACCAGCACCCGCGATTTGAAGTTTGGCACGTCGATTAAACTTATGCGATACGCCATCAAGTTTTCTACAAATGAAACGTTAATTGGTGTTTCTATCAATGGGGTTTAGTAAACATAGCGTGGCACACGTGGAATCTACCTGTCACCTGTCACTGTATGAGTGAAACTACTGCTATGGCGCCTGACACCAGTAGTGTTAATTTATTTGTCAACCAAAACGGCTGTTGGTATAAATTAATTTTTTAATCGACGAGGAAAAATGTGGTTTTACCAAGCCATTGAGTGGGGGAAAATAATAGCTGCAATACACAGGTATTCACCAATCTGGTGTGTATAATTACATGCTCTTTGCACAGATTTTTTTGCCAGGTCGTGTTTGTTAATTGTGGAGCGATCTGGTTCCAGGATAGGAACGGAAGCAACAACCTAATCATTTATTGGTCTAAAAACTAACTTTTTGTCTTTAAAGAGATGTAAATTAGCTACACTTTATTGAAACAATTGTGGCAGGTGAGGACCTGTGGAGTGAAACTAATGTGGATGTCCGGACGTACCAGGTGAACGAGATAACTCTCAGTGGTGAATGGAGGACGAAACAAGATACTTCCAAAACTGTCGCGTGTGTGACTGACAGTAACTATTGTTTTTTCGGTAGAAAGAATAGAAAAATTGTGCTGCTTATGATGCGTAGGGCATATTGCGTTCCTTCAACCAATACGATATAAATAACCGGGATCGGTGACGGTTACTTCATTACGCCTTTTTTCCGTTTTACATGCGAGTAAACAAATGATAGGATTGACACAACATGTAGATATAATCCTTTAAATTTAGTAATACGGCACTTGTTGTTTTAGAAATATTTCTCCTACGCATAATTTAATCCTACACAAACTTGGAAATTCGGTCAATAAAATCGCAGTTTTACATCAAAAACCACTCTTTTGTGGGGAATATAGTTAAATTGGTTCATAGGTGTTCTCCTCTTCTTAAAGTATCGCAACTTCAATGGCCTGCATTTAGTTCAGAACGGGTGGAGTAGATTTTGCCGAATATAACGCAACAGTATGTGCATGTACCTGTTTTCGTAGCAGATATCCTACAGTCCAAAATCGAACATCTGGAACGGTCTGCCACCTGGACGTCCCTCAAAAAGCCAAATTAATGTAAATAACGTTTGGTCACTTCGTTTTCTGTGCTCTACATGAACCTAGACAAGAATCACCTTGATTTATCTATTTTTCGTTGGACTCAGTAAACGGACTGTTTGCTGCCAAGCTGGTAGTGGAATACTGTAATTTAAATAGTTATGGGTTACTGGAGCAAGAGCTAAGGGTCAGTTACGAGAAAAAATCTTCGAGTGAAATTAATCAGAACTGAATAAAGTTTAAGTACCTACGGCAAGTTGTTAACAAAAAGGTTGGAAGATAGTAAACATGTGAAATCTTGGCAAAAGCAGGCAGCATATCCGTCACACAGTGTTAGGAGAAACTGAGCTCCAAATGTGAAAGTATAAGTTGAATAATATGAAATCGGGCTGAAAAAAATCGACGCATTATTTTACTCAAACAAAATGGTTTGACCGCATACTACGACCTGAAATGTATTCATGAAACTACATTTTGCCGTCTTATTTTGAATACGTCGTGGCATCAGTAATTATGCTTACTTTGCAGCCTGCTTGAAGACGGTTTGACTTTTGGTCTCCAGTTAGGGCATCAGTAATCAAACTTGCAAGTAAAGGACACCCAAATTCCAGTTTTAAAAACCATCCCAACTCTAAAAAACATGCGTGTGCACAATGAAACCTCCATTAAGGAAGTTTTACCATAGATTGCACAGCCAATATATTAAATGAAACAGCTCAACTTTTCGACCACGAGGAGTGAAGGCGAGAATATTTTAGTTATATTATTCATCCACCTAATTCATACACTGATGAATATTGATTAGAATTGTGGTGTCATCTAAACCAAGGAATAACGCACATCCGGGAATAATTGTAGCTCCGCATGTGTGTTTTCACTGGCGTGAAACACGAATCCTCTAATTACTGACAAAGGACCGAATAGACTAGAAACACATCGCCACCTTGTTTTCAACAAAATTGATGAGTGGTATGGTGGTAGCAGACATGTGGAAGTTGACCGGACAAATCATCCAGACTAATGCAGAAAGCAGATGTTGTTTTGTTAATTGATGCACGAATGTAAGAAAACAAACAATTTGTGCTGAGGGCAATCAAACTTATTCAAACTGACTGGACAACATGAATAAGCATTATTTTTCGGCCTGCTAAAGCAGTGAGTTTTCCTGTAAATCACCATAAAAGCTATTAGTGACAGGAATTAGCACAATAACAATTAGCACAAACAACAAACAAATGGGACATCACTTTTCTGGTAACGCAGTTGCTGTAGCACTAACAAGTGTATAAGTGATACTTAAGCTATATTACTGGTTTTTATTGGGCCAAGCAGCTGTCAGTTTCATTAAGTCTAGAAATTTTGGGAACCAGATGGAGCGCTATAAGTAACATACAAACCTAATGATCGTTGTAAGTAACCATGGATTTACCAGCATCAAGTGAAATTGGGGGTTCAAAATATAATACAAATAAGAAAATAAGGACAACTTGAAGCAAAATTTACACAATATTCTGTGAGTTATGAGTTAGTGCTGAAATGGTTTGAATCAGGTGGCTTTTCGGAATTTGAAGTTACCACACAATACAGCGTGCTCAATAGACGATGGTATGACTCACTAATTGTTCATTTTCTTATCTTACTAGGAAATTCGGTATTTCCACTCTGATTGTCTGTGAAATAATCTATAGTTTAATTCTGTTATTTCATCCCAATGGCCCCGAATGTGTAGCAGTCATATTCTTATTTTCCACAGCATTGTTGGAACAAACTGTTGCAACTCCAGCCTACGCGTATTTTATAAACAGTTTACAGTTGAAAAAGCTAACAGCAATGATTGCGAATCTTCATACACCTCAAGATTTTACATGTGAAATGTTTTATTCTGTCCACCTTTTTTCTTCAGCTGTCAATAAGAATCGGACATGAAGTTTTCCAAGCACACTGAGCTTTACAATGTGATTGCATAAATTGCTCATTCTATCCAGCTGAAAAAACAAGCAGTGTTCAACTTTTGTATAATTCATTTCAACCTGTGACAGAACCTTGTAGGTTGAGTGAAGCATGAACAAACCATAACTCTGTTAGCGTGTTACTGTTTGTCGTAATAAGAGATCTAATCTGGCAAAGTAGACTTGTGCAGTTTTAAAGGACAATAGTTGTTTTTATGCTCCACCAACCAGCATATCGATCATCTCTGCATCCAGTTTTAATCAAAACACGCTGAAAAACCCAGTGAGATCAGATGTGCTGCCGAAAAGCGTTCCACAGCATGCAAACAATTTTCCCTTAATTGGAAATCCATCAGGGTCTGTAGATTGTATCTCCTATTCATCGCAACCAAACGGCATCTCCTTTCGTTAAAACAAAGAATTTGTAAAACCCGTTGTTAATTAGCCCTTTATACACTAGAGAAAACCACAACTAATCACCAAAGTGTGCAAACAAGACTGTTGATTTGGATATGTAACACTAAATGTGGGCTTGTGAACGTGTGCGTAGACGTGACGACCCACTTAGACAACTTTCTTAGGGCAGGAACGTGACTGATAGCATTGACAAAAAGCGCCGATGGTCAAATTAACAGAGGCTGCACCTATGTAAATTATGAATGCAAATGCTGGCAAACTCACCCATACTACCTCACTCTGAACGTCCTTGAAAATGCAACACATTTTTGGGCCCGGAATAGATAGGTGAATATATACAAAAGTCTGTTCTGAACAGTCAGTATAAATCCTCTCTCTAGATGAAATTTTCACCTCCAAACGGCACAGTGGAACCTCAAAGCTGAGAATTCCATGATAATAATCAGAGGACGATTTTAAGTCTATTTTAGTAATCCAGTAGACGAACTTTATACTTGCAAAGTATAAATAGTACGCCGGCAAAGCAAGACATCCCTTTGATAGCTTTGTTTGATCAGCCAAATGGCGTGGGACATCACAGGAGACGTACAAACCTAAAGGGTGCGTGACATTATTAGCCGTCTTATTGTACCCTATTGAAACTTCCAATCAGTCACTTGAGTGTGACGTTTGATTGCTGAAACTCATATCGGGAATATGCCATGTTTTGATTTTCAGAACGATTCCTGAGACGTCATCTTTTAGCCATGAACAATTGGGATTTTACTTTGGACTCTATTGTGTGAGTGGAATTAATATGTTTAAACAATGGTAAGCATTGCCCAGGTGCTCCAGCCTTTCTGAAAATTATCTGCAGTATCCATCTCACACAGCTCTGGCCTGGTCCAAATAAAATATTTCTCCTGTTGATTAGCGTGCAGTTTTACACTATCACCAACAAAAGACCTGTTTGAATGAACGAAGCGTTTGAAAATGTATACTTCAGCGTGTGGTTTATTAACTCAGGGTGGAAAAATGTAATTTCCCCTGTTATGATGTTTATATTAAATCAGAACTATTTGGTGCTCTTTCAGTTTAATGGAGTCACGTTCATTAAAGATTCTTTGCTCTACCATTTCGTGCATTTGAGTGTTCGCTGTGCAAGTGGAGGTAGAATAAACATAACTATGGATGCACCGAAGAATAAAAACACCGATTCTTGAGAAAGGCCACTTTCTCGGATTGGACAAAATAAAATGCCAGTAGCAAGCACGCGCAGCAAGTGAGGCAAAGCAAAACATGGCAACAAGACGCTTTCATTAAACTCAGCCTAAGCTTGGAACACTTGTTCAGAAGTGAGATAAATTTTGATACCTGGAATAGATTGCCTCCACTGAACGTTCCCGGCAAGCCTGATACAGCCGACAAAATTTTAAAACGATAAGATTAATGAGACCGGTTTACTGGTAAAACTTTAAGGGACCAAGAGTGGATACAGTGCTATTCCTATAACAACGATAAGACTTTTGGTGTGTTGATTCGAAATTGTGAGGTGCCCCTGTCGTTACAAGCAGGTCACTTTAGCATTCAGGCCCATAAGCTTTTAAGTAATTTAGATTTTTCTCCTCTGGATAAGCCATACTATGGATCCGATCAAGGGCTGCCAATTTTGTGGGGTCGTGTGAAACCACCAATATCAAGTTTGTTTTAAGATGTGCCTCTATTTAGGCTAGCACCTTTGGCGATTAATCGGTGTCTCAAAGACAATAAAAACCAAAAATGACCTATTTTTATACCCTATATTCAAGTATTTGACTCATAAATATGGACTTTTGGAAACTCGTATGCTAATTTTGGTAACCTGGCACTTTAGAAATTCAACCAAACCCGGGTGCTTTGAGCTTACAAACGCGCCCTAGCAACCCGGAAGTCAGAAAAACAGTTGCTTATTGTCCACAAGAAACAGACCAAATCTTTAGTGAGGAAAAATTATGCACAGCGTGCAATCTTTACGACTCTGCAGTAGAGCGTTTTACTTCAGACCTGCTTTCGCTGAGTCTTACTTAGTACCTCTACAAAGGATAATCAAGGGATTTGTGAGATTAAGATGTCAACTTCGGAATCACTGATGTCAGGATACGTGAGTGTTGCTGGAAAGAAAATGCTTCTGGGTGCTGCAAAGCAGTATCCGGCAGTTAAATCATTGCGCCAAACGAAAAATACACGAAGGTGCATTTTAACAATCAGCCGTTGACTAACACGAGCCACCGGTTTCTCTAGATCGCATTGCAATCTGCGAGCAAGCAAAGTCTGAAGTGCGGACAATTTTATTTCCGAAGTAAGGGTTTCAGCACCGGTAAGAGGGCTGGTAGTCTACGCGGACAAGACAAATGTGATGATTATTTGTTTCGCTCGGCAGGCACAAAACCACTGTAAACAAGTTTGCAAAAGATTCACATCATCCTGAGTGCGCCATTTCCCGGTATGCAGATGTGGAGGCAAAGGAATCAGACGTTTGGTGGCTGTATCATATGCTAATGGATTTTTCGGTGTTCTAACAAGGCGGTTCTGAACCCGACTGTCTCGATGGCGAATGAATTCGGAACGTCGATCAAAAGGCAGCTGCAACTACAATAAACATGTGTACACAGATTTCGCCAGCTTAAGTGCGTCAAAGCCAGACATTTAGGGTTAACGCTAGTTACACTCGGCAAGATCTTTTCCTTTAATTATGTTAATATTATTGCGTTTGAAGCTCTATGGAATGCACCCTGTGAGTATTTGGTGATCTTCCAGACGTAAACCTTGTCTGGACTAATAACAGAACTAAAATCCGATGACTTCTATCAAAACGGAAACTGACCGGTGTCACTTACCAATGGGTCGGTCAACTCTCGGTGGTGTTTGTTCCTCACGAATACCACAAACCTTATTTGTACTCCACATTTTCACGTTAAATTTGTCTAGAACCTCGGTGATTGACTCCGGAAGTGACGTCCATGTAACAGTCTCTTCTTGGGTGTCCAGCTTTAAATCTAGTTTTAAATGGCCTTGTTTAAAACAAAAAGTATGGATGTATAATCCAAAGAAGAAATAGCGGGTAGAAAAACGAGTTTAAAAAGTATGTAACAAAAGTGGACTCAGTAAGTTTCCCTAATACTGGTACAAACTCTCAATGCCTACAAAAGTGCAAACTACTGTTTACGGTAAAGTGCAGTTCGGATAATCGGGCGAACGCGTAAACTTTAAGTGATAAATGAATGCGCTCTAAAAGCTTTACGCTCCTCTCTCTGGACTTCACATCAGCAGCTTTAGGGAACCGTTCACTCATGAGTGAGCATAAAAATGTTTAAATGTGTCAAATCGCAACAAGGCCTGAAAAATTCCTAGGAAACCCTGATTCATTCTTAGAAGCTCTATATCGGGGCGTGCTAGTTGTGACCTGCTTACTGACAGTTTAATGATACACGTCAAACTACCTACGTGGATTCAACAACTGCAAAGTTCGTTTCGTAGTTATATCACTTCCAGAAGCATCACCGCCTTCTATGCGAACCTCCAGATCAAAAGTAAGCAATTGCTGGTCGTTTGGAACGTCCACAGTGAACTGAGTTTGGTTCGACCCCAATTGTTGCTCCAGTTTCTCGGACACTGGCCACGACGGCTGAAGCTTCACGAAGGTTGGATGGCACGCACTGTTATCTGTGATTAACTGAATTAGAGTAATTGTGGAAATTAAGCAAACTGCACGTACAGGAAAAGTTGCGGATGAAATTAATTGCATCTTATTGTGGCAAGATGGGACCTGCTTAAGGTTTCGCATGATCCGGAAATTCGCTTTACTTCATTTATTCATAAGTATTCCCATTCCTACCGACACCTGAAAATATGAGCAAGAGTAGACCTGCACTCACATAATTCCACAAAAATGGTGGTTCAAACCGATTAAAATCTCTCTGCGTAAATGTTGCACAGTAACCCTATCCGGAGTAAACCACTGCCATCTCTTTTCTAGAATAAAGTTCAGAAGCAATCCTGCGATGGTTGAAGATGTCAGTGAAAATTTTTAATCTTCAAACGGGAAGAATATACGATACAATATTTAGGCAATTTCCAAATACGTAATTTGAATAACCTTTATGTTATTTGCTGGCAGAGGATGACACAAGCGGCAACAAAATGTCACTCACTCAACCGACGATTCAGAGGTACCATTTTTAAGGTAGAGATCAAAGTTTGGACCAATACCGCTGATATGTTTCTTAAAAACACAACGCCTACTATTTGCTTTCCGCATATGGATCCCGTGAGTTATTCGTGGCTTGAGGTAACGGACGGACAACAATCAACTGGAAGGTATTAAATGGAAAATCCCTGTAAGCCAAACAATAATGTGAAAGCTCTGTAGGGCTGACATTCGCCTTGTACTACAAAGGGTTAATTTTTGCATTCTTCCGAAAGGTTGTATGCTCCACAAACCATCAGCTACACGAGAGCTTTCAGAATTTTGAGTACTTAGAAGTTGGCCCGGTTAAAGAATGGAAAAGGGATTCTACTGAACTAGTTTCAGGCTATGTATGCCTAACAGATACATTTTTGTGTTCCATTAAGCATCACCTTCTATCCAAGTGCAAATCAACTGACTGGTCCATTCTCACCTTTGAATGAATTGTGAATACCACAACCATCTGCGTTCTGCCCGGTTCTGATTCTGCTTTGATACCGGCCAGTTTTATTCGAATATCAGTAGCTGGAGCAAAAGATAAAAGACATATTTTTTCCATCATATCGATATATGAGAATAAACACGTATTCAGCTTGTGCCCTCAAGAAAATCCCGAATTCCAAACCGTCTCTGTAAAGCAAGCTTGTGCGCAATGGCATTGTCTTAACCCAGACAACAAACTCCCTTAGTACTCCACTGATATCCTCAAAATAGAAGCTTTGTCACCTTCATGCTGGTACGCACAACACTTGAGGTAAATACTCAAGTATAGAGGTTTTACACGCAGCTACTACTCTGGTGTATTCAGCGGTTAAACTAAGGGTAATTCTCCATCCTCAGCGTAGACACTGTCTAATGGGCAAACATAGTGCTGTAATATGGAGATCTTCACTGAAATTCATCCAACAAAGAGTTAGATCAAATCTTTGTGCGCAATTGGTCTCATACTTGCACCCTTAAATGGTGAATAGAAGTCTGCATACATGTTTCGCTCAACGTAAAGTTCATCGAGACAGCTCCCAAAGAAAAATTTGCATGCTGGTCGTAAATTTCAAAGGGCGAATCTACTCCTGAGTCCCATTGTACAAGCTGATTTTCCAAATTACATTGCAACAAGAAACTTCTTTTAATCAGTCCTTAAGTCAGATGAAAAATCATTTAGCTGTAAGGGCCCACCGGTGCTTATCTACCATGCTACCCGAAGGAAGCACGCGGGGCGGAACCCTGCCCGGTTATGCAAACCTAGACATAGAAGGTCGAGATGCAGAAGTTGGATTCGAACCGCTGACCTTCCGGTCAATGAATTCACGCTCTAATCACTTGAGTAAGATGAAAAGTAAACATATAATTTTAATGGTCTAGCCATCGACTGCCGCCGTCAACCACAAAAACACAACATGCAGACATATGTCAATGAGCTTTTGTCCATGTGTTCATTTGAAGTGTCAAAGTCTTATAAAGGAAACGCGACCCAAATTCATGTTTCCGGATGGATCTATACTCAACTGGTTTTCTTCATGATGTTGCCTTAAAAACTAATGTTAAACTATTGTTGCCGTTCTTGGTAAAAGACCCAGCATTCACCTGTAAAGTTAGTGAATTGATAGTATTCCAAGAGAACATCAGATGTTAAGGTATGTCTGTTGATATCACTCAGCTCAATTAAGTATGCTCACAATTTCGACTGATGGGTATAAATTGGAATATACGAACCATATTAAAAATATGAATCCCTTTTTTGGGCTCAAGGTGATCATGCCAGCAGCAAACATCACACACCACACTCCTAAATACGTGTTACTCATAAGAGAGACTGAATAAGTCTGTTGGTGGTAAATAGATCAAACGTTTGGCATTTAAATCACAGTTTTTCATTTTATTCTTTTAATGAGCAAACACCGTTTATAGTTTCAGCACAAAAAGAAGATACTAATGGTTCACAGTTCCTGTGTTGTAAGTCCGGATATGAAGACAACCATCAATATGGTGCTGACAACAAATAAAACACCATTTAACACAGCATGTAGGCCACCGCAACAGAAATGGATGTTCTCTTTCCTGCACACAATGGTAAACACTCACAGAAGATCACAAACTCTGCCAGCAATTTCATTCGGGCGCATTAGGCAGACAGCTCCCTGTTTAATGCTTCGGTCTGTAACAATAAGTTCATACCAAAGTATGACAGCAGTTGAAGTATTCCGTCATATGTTACTCAACACTATAATCGCTGCTCCGGTATTAACTGTCCTAGAAGAAAATTACTCTGTTTATCGTGCGAGCTGTTAGCATACCCCAAAGACACTGCATGCTGCAGCATCATGCTCCAGTCCTACAAAACCTACGAATCTACAAAATATCAGCCTGTGATTAGGTTTCCTTGTGGGGCTGAAAAAAAACGTAAATAAAAGGAAAATGATACCAAACGGAAGCAAACAACGAGGATTTTACAGTTCTTCACAGTACTTACCATCTAGCTCAGCTTGTAGACCTTGAACAACACTCGTCGATTTGGCCAATTCTCTATCCGATTCTTGGTCTTCCATAACTTCGTAAAGATGGTATGAGTCAGAAGCCGAGGGATTTGTCACAGTGAACTGAACAGCAAATCCGCCCTTGGTTCTCTCACACTCTACTTCTCCCTGTCGTACAATCCGCTTACATTCGTCTCCTTTAGTAGAAAAATATGCCATGGATCAGTGAGACTTTCTGAGTTAAACCCCGAATGTGTTTTAAACGGTCTATCAGAGCAAATTATCCACCACTGCGTTTTACTGATGTCATAATTTGGAAAGCTTGTGACAATCCTGCTTTTCTATTGAATAGGCAGACATCCAAAAATGTATATAAACAGTTTCATCAAAATAATTTTTTGAGAACTAAGAGACTGAAAAAACAAAATACTCGTAAAGTTTCTTTGTTTTCTCTGGATTTTAACCTCGGTGAAGTGCTCCAACACTAATGGGTGACGTTCCGTTTAGCTCCTCCTCCTGTGTAAAAGAACAAATTGGAATGCAAACTATGTACGCTCTTATGAGGCCTAAGAGTTTAGAGATCAGCCAGGTTTGTATGCATACTTGCAGGCTATTGACAAAATGAGCCAATTCAAATCTAGAAAATTAAATTTTGGATTGTAATGCTGTTGAGGGCCTCATTCTAACTGGACACTTTCTGGTAAATTTAACAACAATGATGGAATGGATATCCATGTTAATTCCTTGGATTCATTCGATGGATGCATTTAAACACAGAGCCATATATTACGGTTAAAACGTTCCACTGATAAATTCTTTGAAAATAGAGATTGGCCGTTAACTATCAGGACAGCTATTCCGAACGACCCGCTTTTCCTAATTGTCTCCTAAATACAACCCCCTCGGTGGTTGAAACCACCCTTGTAAGAAGGGTGACTAGTCGTCAGAATTAATATTTTATCCCAGGAAGCATATTCATAGACGAAAGAATGCCTACACCTCGATGATCCGTTGATTAGTTCACTGCCCAGTGCATCGGGCGCATAAATCAGATAGAAAGTTGTCATTATTCGTCACTTTGGAGAGCTACATATAGCGTAGTAGTAGACAGTGTACACAGCCATAATCCAAGGAGTCACTGCATGCATAACTGCCTTTGATGATTTCACTACTCTGAAATACAACTTGTCACAATTGGGAAACAACTGATTTTCGGTTTGTTGTTAAGCTGGCATACTCCATAATGTCCGGTTTAGTTACGAAGGTATGTCTGTCAAAATCAAACGTGCGAGCTGGTCAATTTACAAAAGGGTCTTATTGATCGAGAGTCCACTTGAAAAACACTGACAAAAAACAGTGAGTGAAAATATCCGGCATCTACTGTGTTTGATTATTGCAACGAAAAATAGGGTGCCGTCGAAAAACACTTACCACTAATTGTGACAGATGACACCTGCTCTGGATTCTCTCCGGTAGAGCAGGAAACGCGCTGAAGGTATAGCTTCTTCTCTCTTGAATTGTGCGGTTCATTTTGGTAATGAGCTCGGATATCCACAACATGTGAGTCTCTTCTCCATACCCACGCTCTTACGGTGTTTTGGCGCTGTGGTGAGATGACTGTTTTGTTGCAACACAGAAAGTGTTTTGGGGTAAGGTTATTGGTCAATAAAACACTCATTCAAAATTGTTATCATAAATGCATATACTAAGTGCTATGATGCTCCTTCTTCCACATCAGTTGTGGATAGCTCTACTGATCAACTAGTTTCATCATTTAAATTCCAGCATTCGAACCAGTCTGGTTGTGGGGAGGTGTCAGTCGGCAAGTACAGAAAGTGAAAGACCTGTGGATCAGAAGGTTCCAACTTGAAGATATTCGTCTCCTACATGCACGAGACGATGTCTCGTGCATCCACACCATTCTTGTTTGAATTGTTTTTCAATTGTGCCTATTGGCTAACTTTTGCCAGTTCATACGAGAGAAGCGCAGCGCTGGACTCGGATTTAAACACTTATTAAATCCCATCATCAGAGTTGGGCTTCCAACCCTGGCATTCGGAATACGGAACAAACGCATGACTAATATGTTCCAAGAGGATTCCTGACGTTGCTGAGTTACGACGTCTAATGAGTCCAAAGTACGCTAAGGTAGAGGTAACATGTCAAGTTTAACGTGTTACATTTTGAGGTTTCACTTCCAAGCACGACCAAGTATGTGTCACTGTTAATCTAGAATACGAGAAAAAGGTTTGTTCAGCGATTCTCCGCTTAACTTCGGACTAACTTGAATCATCATATCCGGTGAAAATTGATGTATAGTTACGGACATAATAATGCAAGTAATTTCATTTTCACCTTCAAGCAATTAGAGCAAGCTTATCTCTAACGTCAGATATCCTGGATTTAAATCCATAAACTTCCAGGAATTCTCACAGCTGACCTCTCTCTGGGTATGCTTTTTCGTGTGAATATTTATTGGACACATTCGATACTTTCACATCTCCGGCTGCTAGTAACAAACTACGTATGACTCAAAAGAGGAATGGGATTTCCATCCGGGATTCCGTCACCAAAATGGTCAGTCAACACGTGACTGGGTAATGCGGATTCCGCGGCTGAAAGATGTACGCGAGTTACCCACACTGTTGGTCAGCCCCTCATGACCGAAAGGTCCATTCCTTTACTCCTAACTACCGAGGTCTCGAATTCAATATTTCACATACCTTTTTATTGCGCACTGCGGACTGATTCTCAAAAGGGATGAAACTGCTGCATAGTGATGGGAGCAGCTGAATCTTTCATTTAGGATGTTCATGAACTGCTGGATGCGCGCGATAAACACGCGTCTTAGCAAATATATCTACTATGTCATCAGCATCACTGTCAACGTAAAGTTGATGGGTTTTATGGTTTGGGGCCTCGGCCATTATTTTTGAAATAGGTGATTTCAAAATAGCAACCAACAAAGCAGAAACATAAAAACTTTACTCTCTTAAAAACGTTTTCTGGTGTAGTATATCTTTACGTAGTCTGTAGTGTAGGAAATGATACTTTCCGGTATAAATAGAAAGCTATTTCTTTAGCTCCTTATATAATTAGACTTGAACTGTCCGTGAAAAATTTGACAGTGATAAAAATGATGACATAATGTCTTTTTGGATTATATCCTGAAGAAGTGTAGATGACTTGAGTAGCCTTTTCACTTTCGTTGCCCTATCTGACCAGAGGCACCATAGGCACGCTTTAAAAACGAACCAAAAATTCAGTTTATAGCTATCACCAATTGATTCAAGATAGCATTTATTACACTTGAATCTTTTGATATGTGAGTAGATATCAGCAAAAGACCAACAATGAGGAGCAGTTAGTCCCCGCTACTTAGACCGTCACAGTGACTCACTATAAAGTTCATCACTGAAAAACAATCGGTACTACTGACGATGATGCCCTGAAAATATTTAGTTATGCTCACCTATTGTTCGCAGTTCATCTTTGACCTTCCTGACAGTTACTGCTTCATCTTTGGTTTCCCACTCAATTGTAGTCAAACCCTCATCGGTCACATCTGGCCAAGCGTTCTCCTGAACTATTCTGTAGGCTCGAATGGGCCATGCATACAGGGTTCCTTTGGCCAGAGGAAACGCTTGCACTGAACTTGTTTGCGCGTACTAAAATAGAGCAAATACAAGAACGTTTTCATGAAAGCGATAACAGAAACTACAGGAACACTTAAAACATTATTTTTTTTTCTCAGCCTAAATCCGCCTACGACCAGCCTCCCTTTAAACTAGGTGCAAGCAGTTTAGGTCGCGTCAACGATTTTCTGTAAACAGGAGAACCCCAGTCGGATGTTAATCGAACACATGTGTATGTATATGCATATATGCATCTGTATAGGACATTTCACGTACTTCTTCGGTGATTGTGGTAAATTCCCCACTGTCGAGATACGTCACTCGCAGCTGTAAGTTCTCCGTTAGACTGTGACCCGAAATAATCAAAGTGAAATAACCGGTAATTTCTGGCATTTCAAGGAATCCAAGAGTGTTCGGAATCTCTTGCTCATCAAGCTTTGCAGTGAAACTGCGCTCGAACACCAAGTCTGTTGGACAAGGTCAAATTGGGTAGGGTAATAGATTAGCAAGAATATCATTAGCACGTGGGCCTAAAACGAATCGTACTCTATTGCAGTATATAAGCATTCAGTGTTAATATAAAAATTCTAAACCCTATTCTATGACACAGAAAAGTGCAGCTGAGGATCCTGTATGCGAAACCTTTAATAATCCTGAGCATCTTATTTGGTTGTTTGGAAATTAATCCGAAATATTAGATAAAATGTATAAACGGATCCGGTCCAGAGTAACAAGCATAAGATAAACGCAAACGTTCGGGATGGAATGAACTTTGTCATACCACGGACAATTTTTGCAAAAATGAATCATATACCTCAAATTTTCACCCGATTGAATGGGAACTGTGTAGAATATATATGGAAAACTTAGGAGACATGCGAGGTCACATACATAGCATTAGTTTCCAACATGCAGAATGAAATTTACTAAAAAAGAAGTCTTAGATAATTATGTTTCGCTTGTCTTTTAGCTAGCACTTTGCTAGTATCCTCAATTGCATCACTTTGGGACCAAAAAACCACAAGTTTGATACTATAAAAAGAAACTGTTTGTTAACTAAGCTGGCAGAATTTTTTCAATCTACCCACTTAGAGTACATGAGTAGTATGCCAGTTTAATCACGCGATTTTCACAGCTCACACTCGGAGGGGATTGTCTTATTTGGTACGAGCCAAACAGCTAATTTTTCGAGTTCTGAACTATGAGCTTCGTGAGATGCGCATTAACGATGAAACTAAACAATGCTGAAAGAGTCGCACTGTGCTTCTTGAGTTTCCGGCATAGATTTTCTTCTCAATTCATCAACATCCTCAACAGTATGACAGCAGTGTTCAAAACTGATGCTTTGCTGCTCCATTTTTGATAGCTACTAAATGTCTTCACATCACTACCAGTTAAAAAGATAGATTTAAAACAGCCTAGAGTATCCATGTTCACCTCTTATAGAACAGTTGACTAAGTACCAAAACCCTTACCGGATATAACAATCATCATCGACAATATGACATCAGTGTTCAACACCGATGCTACACTGCCATACAGTCGTGAATGTCATGGTTGTACGAGGGCTCGGATACTGCCAGGGCGCCAACACCGCAAGGCAGTGGTGTTGGGCGGGAAACGCAAATGCATTACCATTTCTACAGAACAAGTCGCCACATATTCCAACCCCCAACCTGGAAGGCCAGGAGACTGTGTTCGTCATACCTCTTAACCATTGATCAACCTGGTATAAGAGACTCTGTAAGTGTCACGAAAACACTCCCCAGTATAGCTCAATGGATCGCTGAGGTGCGCAAACCGTCATACCACTGTAAGATTCAGTCTCTTTGTGACGGGATATAACAATGCACTGTGGTCAAAAAAGTCTTGCATGAATATTGCGATTGTGCGCGAGACACCGTGTTGAGCGTAATTAGAGTTTTTTTCCAGTAAAGTCAAGTCCACACATATTGAAGTAAGACCTTGCTGACAGCGATTTATCGGTGCTGTTAGTGCAGGTGTTTATCTGTATATGTTAGCACCATAATAATTCCGAATCAGTTTTTTATGCTATAATTTTTATCAATACATTAATATAAGTCCGAATAACAGAATTTCAAAATTCGACCAATAGAAAATCTGCCACAGTATAACATTAGTGCACACTGCACAATAAGTAAGCGACGAAAAGCGGTGCAGAGGAAAAGTGACAGATCCAAAATCAAATTAACCAGGGTCCAGAACCAAGTTGTCAAACATTCACTGGTCAGGAACACATCACGGAAAGTAAACTTCCATATGAAAACAAGGCAACAGGCCTTAATGATTAACTCATTTTTCATGCACCATGCAACGTGTCTGTCAGTCTAGATACACCGATTCATTCGACAAACGCAGACGAAATTCCCAAGTCGAAACCTTGCATGAACTGGGTCTGCATTCTTCGGACTAATACTAACTGAATGTAGGTGGGATTATGCAGACCCACGACGCTTTACTTATCAGGTTAATTTGTCCCAGTACGATTACGTAAACGTATTGATAAACTGTTGCATGTGCAGAGACGTCGGTAAACAGGCCAAGAACAGAGTAGACAACGTTAGGGGTAGGGTGGAATTAACAAAACTACGGACGCACCATTACTAAACTTGTTAGTGATGGGCACGTTTACGCATACACGCAAGGTCGTACATACAGAAAACAAACAAAATATGAACAATGCGGATCGATCAACTTCGTCTAAGAATCGACTGAGTAAACCACAAACGGGAAATCTACACTCACCACCTGGCAGTAGAACGAACAAACGGGTAAATGACACAAAATTGAGTGGTCAACGGTCACATTAGTAGTATACATGGAGAGCAAAATTATATAGTGGTAGTGAAAAAAGAACAAATATCATTTTGGTTTCAATCAATTCAGACCTGGACAGAATGCGGAAGTCTAACCACACATTAGTGTCAGAAGAACGACTTCAAACTGTTTGGATTATAACTTGCTGGCAAATTCGTGACCTGCCCGGTCATAAACCTTATATTAGAATTCAACGAAAATATACATTATTTTATAGAGAGGTGGGTTGTATAAAGTTTTTTTCTGATTTTGGGTTTCATCAGAGTATTAGCGGGTCATTTTGGATGATGGATAACTAATATGAACGTGCGAAACCACAGTTTATAGGGGACCATAGTGACAAACAAATCCTTCAGTAGGTCATAACTACTGGTTGCTAGTCTGTCCCTGACTGTGTATTAATCAAAGCGTCAGATAAACTTTGGTTGCGCGCACAGTGGATTAATCTCTGCATCAAATATCATATTCGCTTGATTAATGTGCCGCAACCAATCAAAATTACAGAAGCGCAAATACCTCGGGAAAAGTGTGCTACCTGGGGAAAGTTTGCCTTTAGGACTGCAAGAGGATCTAAACATAGCGCTTTTCACAAAATGTTATTGCATGAAATTCTGGATCAAGCTGAGCGGTCCTGCGTTATATTTTTACTCTCAAGACAGGTTACGTCCATCAGACGCGGAACCAACGGAAGTAACTGGACACAGAGGAATGATGCGACATAAATCTGGAGCCACGTCAAACATATGGTTTCAAGCAGTTCGACCGCAGCTGGAGGTGTAACAACAGAAGTTCATAGATGTTCAGCTAAATGGTTGGGAAAAATAATGGAAATAGTAGCAGAAACACACAAATCCACTATACTCTGGTCTGTGCAGCTTAAGTTAGACCGCAGAATCCTTGTTTTCATTATCCAATATCATAATTTCACTATTTTCCTTGCAACAAACCATTTGGTCTAATAAGTATTGTAACTTCCGACATCTTAGGTTAAACGGTCACGTCAACCCCTGTACAACACAATGAAATGGAATTCAAATATAATCATTTCTCGACACCACATTTTATACTTTGCTATTAAATGATTAACTCAATGATCAATCCACAGTAAAGTGTCTTTCCATTAAACCTGGACGGCATACACACTATCTGTGCAGTTTTTTAGACCTTAATTTACTCTTATCTCGTATCCTTCAAAATGCATACAATCAACATATGTAGACCCAAATTCAAGGACAAGCTGGTAAACCCTTTTTCTCTCTTGGCCCTTGACCTAGTGCCAGGGACTATGCGTAATCTTACGTTTCTCGTATCATAAATTCGCTGCTGACTGCTGAGGTATACCTGGCCAAAAAGGGCTTTTGGATGGTCGCCCTTCGAAAAAATGATCACACCAATTTCCGGACAAATCGATGTTTCCCAGTGAAAGTTTTCGAACTGGTGCGCACTATGAGTTTTCCAAGATAAACTGCAACCCACGGTGATGGACGAAGGAGAAACAATCACTTCCACTAAATAGGTCCGGCATATCGAATCTACTCTCATTCGTAGACCGCTCCGTTGTGTGTGTGATCAGTTTGGTGTTCACCAGTTCGGCCCCGAATAAATAATGTTTAGTTTTTGAATGATCTACGGTAGCGATGATGAACGTAGGAAAAAGCACGTTGCAACCAAAGTATACGGCAAAACTGTGTTAATTGTACTGCGATTCGATGAATGCACTTGTTGTCCAACAGCGAGTACGAATCAAAAAGAGAAATTTGTGTACCTTAGATTACGATTGAATCAGCTTCACGATGGGTGAACGAAACTTACCCTGGTCGAACTCCGTTGCTGGAAGTTTTGTTTCGACTGACTCCACAACGGAGGTGAACGGGTCGTCAGTCTGACATCGGCATTTGTACTGTCCGTAGTAGGAGTGAGCTGATTTAAAAGGCGGAATCAAAAAGAAAAATATTCGTTACTGATTACTGGCCAAAGGCCGGATAAATCCTGACAAACGTCTAATAAATTAAATCTGACATTCGGAGTCTCTCAGATTTATGGAAGTTCAATGGGGTTCTGTCAGTAAAAAAGTATGATTTATATGATCAAGGCCACTTAATTAACGTCGCCTTCTTCCACCCTTGAATAGGAATATGGGTGTTCAAGTGTATCAAATCCATATATGCAATTAAATGTCCCTAGAATTAGGTAGATGGGTTCAACCGATTCACCGATTTAATAAATACGGTACAGATTATAACGGATGACAGAGATCTGGGGATGATTGGTAATGAATCTAAGTGAATCCAATGGAGGAGATAATCAACTCCGGTATGATCGCCTACGTGACAGCTGAATTCTCAGCTGAACAACCACGTAGCTTATCTGTCGTTACGCACGCATCCAAACTTCAACACATTTGTTAGACTTCTGCATAGGAAGCTGTTACTGCCATGCACCAAGCAGCACAATATTATATTTTGCAGAAGAGCTACAAATGGTACATTCATTGCAGAGTGGCACAAACACAATCAAAAAGGTTGACTAGTTGGAGTTTTTTAACCGACGCACACGAAAGAAACCCCAGTGCTGTGCAATCTGTTTTATTTTATTTGATTCACATAAATCGCCTAATGCCTAAAATGAAAGTTTTTGGTCCTGTTTTTCAGTTTTAGAGCGGCAAATAAGACACTGATTGACGTCCAATCACTAAACATTCTGGATGGAGGATGAGATAGAAAATAAGGAACATTTGTGACTTTTTCGGTAAATGAGACTTTTGACTCGTTCGTCATAGTCTTTAAAATGTTGCTTACCAGGAGCTCGCCTTTCACACTTACACATCCAGAAGTATGCAACCATAAAGATCAGATTCAAAAACTTCTGGGGAATCCAGTTGGGAGTACTGATATTTCGACAGAATACGACGCACAGCTGAAATCAGGATACTGCGTGCGTAGTACTCGGTGGACAGCGTGCTATATTGTCTTGCGACCTTTAAGTTTTGTGGAGTCTACCGATAGCACGGTTTTGGACCAGGTAAATAACTTCGGTCCCTGAACAGACTCCTGATTGCACAGCTATGTACAAATTATACATTCGAACAATGTGGATTATCGCATTTAAACGTTCTGCCCACCTACGGAGGGTTCCTTGCATTGATTTTAGTTACTTACCACTGAATGGCATGGAAATGTGCTTTTGCAAAAACAGGATACACTTATTAAACAAAATGTTTTTTGCGACTTTATGGTAACATCCACAGATATGTTCTTTACTGACCTCATAATAAACAGTCAGTTCACCAATGTGGAGACCATCCTGTAGTCCATTGACGGTATTTTTCGTTTAATGAACGCCTACAAACGAGGCATCCGAAAAGCCCTATACATCGGCGTAGTTGCGGTTGGAAGGAAAAAGCACTTGGGAAAGAGATCTTCACACAGAACTCATGCGGAGTGCAAGAAAGTTTCTAAATTATAAACATGACAGTTATTGTTTTATGCATTTATATGTGGTTTCACTGCTTGAAATATTCATAGCAAAAGAATAGATAATTACCAGAGTCCACCAAAATTTAATCAAATCAACAAAGTAAACAAAAAGCTTATGGGGCAATAGTGATGGAATGGTTTAATCGTTTACTTATATTTAATGGCGGAAAGCTCTATGCTCCAGGTGCATACATCCAGTCTGTGCAATCTCAAAACCCTTTGCGTTACTAATTCGTAAAACACTGAGTATCCCTTCTTCATTTGGCAAAACATCTAGGTTCCAAACAATAAAACAGCTAATTTTTGACATCAAAGTGAACAGATTTAAAGCCATCGCATAGCAAGGATATGCAACTGTTTAGATAATTGGATGGTTTTTATAAAATGACTTCCCAAAACATATAGAGTACGATGCATGGTTAATTTGATGATAGCCTGATGATTTCTTTCACACAGCAGAATCAGAATCACTGTAGCCGGCAATTAATTATTATGTTTAGCGAATGATACTACTCCGTGATTCTCAGCAAAATCAATAGAAGGTGTTGATTATCTCCTTTCCTCAAATCTTGTTTGTGGATTTTCATTTCCCGTAAAATTCTGCGCAGCACGGATGACACAAGTAGCACCTAATGTCATTTGAAGTCACAAAATAGGCAATGTACTTCGCGAAGAGATCTCTGCCCGGACTAACAAGTTGGTCTTTTTGATTTCCTAAACTCAAATTAAACTCTGGCAGCAAAGCATGCAATGAGCTCAGCGCAGGTCACTAATCTACATGTATTCCGTTGATTATCACGTAAATGAGGGCGATTGGTCACTTAAATTCAGGCGACAATAATTGACAATGAAGCGTACAACACTCTCGGTGATTTAATGAAACCTAACTACCAGAAAATCTGTTGAACTCGAAAGTCAACGATGTCCCGACAACCAAACTGATTCACTGTATGCTTCGGTGTATGCTCGGTGTTCCACCCTTTAATGTTCTTTCCCTAACCGGATCGTTGCGAGCTCAAATCATTCGTGGACTGCTGATGCGCCCTGCTTGAGAGGTCCTCATACGTATGAGACAAATGTTTTTTCTTGACTCGGTACTACTAAGGGTTTTGCATTGGACGGTTGCCGCACTACTTGAAAAGTAAAACTCTATATGGAGGAACTATGACTGGTGCAGCAGCTGTTTCCAAATCTCACTGAGTGTACACCTGACGCGGCTTATCGGCATTTCGACAATTACTCTGCATCAGCAGCGTCAGACGACACGTTCTTTACATTCCCACGATCGAATACTCACACATCACTGCAGAATGCTCCGTGTTTCTGGATGTTACGGAGCAGCAATGAATCCTCTATATTCCTGTTTATTGTCTATTCGTCTTCTTAAAATACCAACTGATGGGACGAGGCGACTAACAGTCCTGAAATAACTTTACCCAAAAGGCGAGTTACTATATCTGGAAATTGCGGAAATAGCGACCTACCCTTTTCCCGTACTGAACACGACCACCGAATCTATTTATCGTAATGTATGTTGGAGTCTCTAAAATAGTAAGGTATGTAGAAGTTGACAGCCCACATTTGTTTAGACTTCGTGGGGTACTTGCAAAGACTACATACTAAGGTTTTAACTCATACGGTCAAAATTTTCTGCCGCATTGTTGGATAATCCGACTGAGAGAACTGGACTTGACAAAATAAATCGCCTCCATTTCGCGACTTGTTCGGTAGCAAAAGTCCGCAGCAGCCAAAAGGTGAAATAAACTTATTGGGGACCTTCCGAAAATTAGACTGTTGAGAGTTGATTTAGGGTGTGAAACAGCTGCTACACAGAAGCATCCACTCAACTTCGAAGGGTTTTGTCATAAATTTACATAAAAGTGCTCCATAACTTGCAGGAGAGTATACAAAATTATACGAAGTTTAACCAAGTTATGGACCAGACGTGTCGAGTCAGAGGTGAAAAGGTTGAGAGTACCACGGTTTGACACAAAAGCCTTTCGGAGTTTGGTTAACGCGTGCGTAGATTTAGTTGTCTATGCAAGTGTAAATGTGAGTATGAATTCACCGAGGCTAAGTTTACTCAGAAGTTGGTAAAAAACCACCTGCTGTTTCTCGGTTTATTTTCCAATATTCACCTCGTTGAATTATCTGCTCCCATTTATCTGGAACCTTCTATGTCAAGCAAAACTCAATCGCTTCACAGGCACTCAAAAAGCGCTTGAAGTAAAAGCTGCCTCTAAATTCCGCACAATGCCATCTACAAAATCTAATTTTTACGATTTTGAAACAATCTTGGAACGCTTTGGAACACGAAAAGCGCTCTAGTCGGTCAATTCCTTGTGCCATCACTCACAGAGGTTAAGGTTTCGCTTGCTAATAAATGTTGAACTTCTGACATCCAATCTCTCAATAGTTTTGTCAGTCTCTGACCTTCAGATGAGCACAATAAGCAAAGCGAATAATCAGTGGCCTTCAGATAAGTTATTATATCGTGGAGCAGCCAGCTTGGGGCTTCAGTTTACGGACTTCCATCCAAAATCAGCAAATTACCTCTTCAATTAACGCAGAATAACATGACGAAGTAGTGTTTGGTCAGGTGTTTCAACGTTATTATTCTCCGTACTGGTGAAGGCCAGTTAAAAGAAAAAGTCGAGATAAATGTTTATCCTTCCTCGTCATCAGCGTAGCGCACAACGGAAGTACTGTGTGGTACTGGACTGAAGTTGAATATAAACACCGTTGATGTTTGAATAATTATAAATAGTATTCTGGTTTAAACAGTCACCAAGCTCCTCAGAAGGTTTTTTCAGTCAGTCGTTCATAACTCCATGCAACTCGTAATCCGACTCTACTTTTGATCCTTAGAGGGTCACTAACTGGGGCTTCAAGTGAGATAACAGACCAGGCCCTCAGGTATAGTTCTGTCCCCCTGTGTTGCGCATTGTTTAAGATTCAATATTACAGGTTTGCTGGAAATCTCATTTGGTTCAAACTGTCACCAAAATAAGATGTTTACTTTACTTTATTCCTCAACTATGTCCACACCACAGAAGTCCTGCATTTCTGATTAATGAATAGCACTCGAAGTCATTTCGTGGAACTTACCTTACTCTTGCAAACCAGTTGGCTTTCCTCAACTTCCAGTTCGGTAATAGGCTGAAAGCTTACAATCACTTAATCAAAATGTTTGCAGTGTTTGTTTACTCAAAATTAGTTTGAAAATGAGCGTATATTCGCTGACGATTTTTGTTATAAAATCTCCTGCGTTTCTCAATCGACTGTGTTTGCACATTTGGAATCACTGAATCCAAGCAAAACATCTGGCAGAAAGACTATGTATTTCTACGTATAGCTTCTATCTAGGACAACCGGAAATTGTGACGATACAAGGCACCTGCGTTAGTTAAGTGCGAGCTCTGTGTGTGATATGTTTAAACTGATGAGATTCGACGGCTAGCAAGCATGAATATGCTTGGAGAAACGGTAACATCCTGGAAATGCCGTGGAGTGTGGTAACTGAAGTTGTGTTGGCTTTTAAACATTCCTACGTGAAAGCAAGACCATTGCAGTAAATAAAAGTAAAGAACTAAGCCTGTACATTTTGTCACCAGTTCATACATATCCTACGAATGGTTGACAAATTCTTTCAGATAAAAACCGTGAAAGAATGCAGGTTAAATGCATTACTTGCAACGCAATTTTATGAATGCCTCATGTCTATAAATATTATTCCACTTATTCAGCTGAAAATAGGAAATTTAATTTACTTCAGAACCTTGGTTTTATTTAAAATACTCGTGTAATTTTTAGAACTATTTCATAACGGTTTTCCTTGACCTAGAAGAACTCGTTTCCGTCTCACAATACAATTTTTCTGACCACGTTGGGGAGGCCTCCCGTTGCCTCCCGAGTTGCACCATGCAAATCTGATGTATCAACTTAAGATATTTTATAGACGTGAACTGTTAGTGTTTAATGTGATGCCTACATGAGGCAGTGTGTCTAGAACCAACCAATCATTGAAATCCACTATTTACATAAACTGTACTGAAAAGGCGATGGCATAACTCAATTTTTTCAACAGCAGATGAGTGTTCTTATCCGATTTTTGAAAATTCAACTACTTTTTGGCTGAACTGGAGTTCCTACACCTTTGTTCATCTACGATCATGCACCGTATAATCCTACGTTCAAGCACGCTGGCATACTTCAGTAGCGCAATGCTACGGTAGCTAAAGGTTTCCTGTGACCCGCCATGTCTATGTCTCAAACTGCAGCTAGGCTTAGTGAGGCCAGATTGATGAGGCCATAAACCGCCGATAAGGCAAAGAACATAGATAAGCAATGGCATATTTTAGCTCTAAACTCAGCTCACCATGAGCTTTGTGAGCAGGTTCAACAACTGGTGGTTTCTGCACACGACGTCTGACATAGGGTCATTATTTTTGAGGACGGGAGTTGTTACTTGGTGCACTGACATTAAAAAATTTCCATTTTAGATATTTTTCTGTTCCGATGAGACTAGTGTGATATTATCGTACACCAGTGTGATTGCCTGTACCACCTGACAGAGGTTTGTTTTCAACCTCCAACAGATATGACAACAAACATTGAAGATTCTGAGTCAAATCTATTACTATATACAGGGAAAACAGATCACTTTGCGATCGGAAAAATTATTAGGCCTTTCACACGTGGCTTTTATTCCCTTCCTTTTATCCTCTCTGAACGAAGCTGGTACAGCTGGAACCAGTCTACATAGTTGGATGGGTTCCAGCTAACAGGATGAGTAAATGACCAAAAAATGGACCGTTTTCAACTGAGTGCTTTATCAAAATTTCAGGGAAACTCACTTCGTGGCACTGTAGTGACCAGTTCGGTTTTAGAAGAATGGACTATTTTTAGTTCCGTTATAACTTCAGCCACTTCTGGTTTTACCCGACCGTTTGTGACAAGCACAGTATCTGGGATCGCATGGCCGTTTGAAGGCTCATGTGTTCGGGCCAACTCCAAATATGCACATTGAACGATGTGACCATATTGGTCGCAATTCGAGTTTGAGTGCTTCTCAGGACACGTGGAAGCAACACATTGTATTTTCAAGTCTTCTGTGGACTGTGGATCAATAGCCTTTGTAAACGGTACGATTTTGACTGACGGATAGTACCCTGAAGAAAAAATGTAGTTTTCATTTTCCTGAAGCAGATACATTCCCGTCAGAAAATTTATTCTGCCCTCAGAAGGCCAAATAGTTACAGCTGGGTAAAGACAAACACAATCATAAGGTAGGAATATTTTTAAAAATCTCACTTTCTCATGTTTTCGACAAGGAATATACTCAAAATACTCCTGAATAATTACAATCTGAACCGTAAACCAACAGGCAACTTTCTGTTCATAAAGAACCACACATTTATCTTTTACTAAAAATAGTAACGGAACAGACGAACTGACAAAAGTTGGTCAGACAATCAGTTTAGGCATATACTTATTGAATTTAATTTTGAACATATTTCAGGCAGTCGCAGATGCTCATCCAGCACCGGTGAAGTAGCAAAAATGACGTACAGTTACATCGGTTTAAGAATAAACAGCTGCAAAGATGCAACAGGGCAACGCTTGATATGCAGTCAGATGGAAACAATCGTCATAAGTTTAAAGAAACAATTGGTCATTGGGACTAAAGCAGAGATAGTCTATTTGCCATCATACCCCAGAGGCACTGTAATCCGTTGCTGATGAAACTCATTTCCAATTAAGTCACATTTTCTAACTTACTAAGATAGCTTAACCCCTTTAAAGCTCAACACCCTGAGAGTTAATCGTTTTGACGTCAAATTGGCCTTCTAAGGCTAGTATTTTAATGATAAGTAGCAGCTGTAGCTCTGATCCCGTCAAATGTCAGACGATTTTGATTAAAACCGTCCATATGGTGAATGGACACAAGAAACCCTTTCATTGAAAGCACTACTCTGCAGCAAGTCAACTAATCTGAGAATCTATGCTAATCCGTTCCGTGTAAGGGAGGCGTGACATTTTAGCCATCGACCTGAAGGTTGTATTCTGTTCTAGACAGTTTCTCCAGTTATCAGATTGAAAGTATACGCAGAAACGCATCGGCTACTCGTTAAAAGTCCCATCCAGGAAAGTTATATTAGTTTATCTCTACCTGTGGTGCATGGCATAATAAAAATACTATTTGTTTGACCGTGGTACCATTTTAGCGCCTAACAACACTGTCACCCCAGAGGAGCACAAGAGTTAAGCTGCTGCTGTTATCCAAACTCAAAGGAGCAGTCGAGATTCAAAAGTTGGGTTCGAAAAACGGTCGCTAATTTCGGGACAGATCCTCTTCATAACCAAGGACATTGTGACTCACATTTTGGAACTGGAAATTGGAAACAAAAATAACGTAGTTCAGCACCAGTGACAAAAACGTGGTGGAAGTAGTTCGTCAAGCCTGTGGTCAATGTTCCTCTTGGGCTTCGTGTAATTTGACTTTTTCTTTGAACTTCTGTTGCGACCACCCCAGGGTCCGTCTCATTAACCCATCTAGCCATGTTTACTTGGGTTGACAGCTGATTTAAAGACGCATATTTGCTTTGAATACCCACTTGCACTAAGTGACTGTGTGAAAAAACGCGTTCCTGTGCATTACGACTACTTATCAGCCCTTTCTTATCCAATGGCGAAAAGGTTCGCTGATCTAATTAAACTTACCACACTTCTGAAGAACCGCGTTCGGAAACTGGGAATAGAGGGGACGTAACAAATTAGTCCCCAACCCTCAGATGTACAGATCTAGGTCTTTGCGTAATATCCTCATCGGAGCTTATCTTCTTTTATATTAGTCTTGATAGGATGAAAAGAATTGTGAAGCCGGGACACAATTAATCACACTATTACTTTAGGGAAACTTGCGAAAAAATGTAGGTTTTTATGGCAATTAAATTGCGTCTAATTCGACACACCTCTACAACAGAGATATGAAGACGGCACAGATGGCATAACGCCAAACTGCATGTCCAGCCCAGGTTGCCTTCCAGCACATCCGCCTAATTTTCTATAGCCAGCATACTTTTGGTCATCGAATGCTGATTATAATAATTCTGGTCTGAGATTTGAAAGTTCTTACCTAGTAGAACTGGTTATCCCTTATTATCGTGACAGTAGCGTGATGTCGCATCTCCAGGTAGGAGGAATGTGCAAAACGAAAGTGAACCAAATTGAGCAATGAGGTTACTGATTTGTTCACAGACATTTCATCACCAGTCTAGATTGTATTATTAGTGGTTCGTTAAAGGGAGTAGCGTAGCGACGGATCAGGGACTGTATTGTATAGTGCTGTGTGTGAGCCACCTGCTAGGTGGGTCGTACTTTCTACTGTTACTCATTGTTCGGTGGGTTGGTCCTATTGGTTGGTCAGTTATACTGTGCCTCAAGAAGTCATAACTTCGTGAGCTTTGAGCTCGGCCTCTCCTGCTCACACTTATTGCTAGGTGTTCCAATGATCGTTGTCATTAACTTCTATCGCTCCCAAACCATGCGCTTTCTTAAAGTGACCAGAGAGTGATTTCTATTTTCTATTTGGTAATCCAATATCAGAACTTGTTGGGGTGTTTCAGTTTTGCCGCAATAGGTTATTTAGTGGGTCTAATTCAAACGTAAGATTGATGAAATCCCTGGCTAAATCCCTCCTCTCCGTGTTTTGTACTCAACAGACAATCCATAATCTGTTGGTGCACTAAGCCCCACAACGGTACAATTGAATCAAAAAGAATTATCCAAATACCTTGGTCCGGCACCTTACAGTTATCTCTGTTGATCGTATAATTTACGAGTTTTCAGGTTAGAAGGTGATAGTGTTAGGAACAACATCACCCTAATTCAATGAACGGCACATCGAAACAATTGCGGGGTTATACGCGCAACACACTACCCATAAAGGAGGCTAAAAACTGTTCGACAGCGCACGACCAGTTCCGCCCTTCTTGGGGCTCATCAGATAGGTGCAGTCACCGAGCTGTCGTCCACCTTCTGATCTACTTGGACTAAAATTGCACGAAATTCGACAAGAATGCCAATTCGCATAATAATTTGGCTTTCATGGAAGACTCTCCTGCATCCCAGCTTTACTGCGTGTTTGGGATTTTCAAATCGGGCACACGTTCGACTGAACCTAGAAGACTTCGTCCACGTGATCAACACAGCGAAGCAAAACCACTCGTCGACTGTTGGAGGAGTCTGCATCAACCGTACGAGTAGTGTGCTTCTTCTAAAAAATATGTTGCGGTTACTCGAATATCGTACCAACTAAGGCATGAGATGACCTGGTGCAGTGCATTTAGTTGAAGAACGTCCTAAGCGAGAGATTCAGTTGGGAAAACCAAACTGGTTTTCAAATGAATGTAGTTGTCCTAACACAGATTTAGTTTAATTTCTGCTAGCCTATCATTCCACACCTCTGTTTTTTAACAAGCCTACACACTGTCCTAGTACTCATTTTGATGGACATGTGACAGCATCTATCTGAGAGCACACGGTAGATTGTTTAACTTACCCCACCCAACAGAAAAACTTGATGTTTGGAAATACGGGGTAGAGCGTTATGTAGCACGTAGCAACTTAATTTTTGTGTTTTAAATAATTCCATAGGGCTGACTGGCCGACTGGATTGATGAGCCGGAACCCGAGTCATACAGGGTATCCGCAAATTTACCTACTGAGCTTTCACAATTCAAGAAAGTCAGGCATACTCATATGAGTGGATGACATCAGAACGGGTTTGCCAGTGGGCCGTGGCCTAATGATTAAACCTCTTAGTAGGGTTTAGCGAAGCGGATACGGTGCACCGTGTAAGCATCCGACCTAGACCTGAAAGACTTGCATTAGCCAGCATGTATGCAGCCAGCTGTTGTTATCCGACAGCTGGTCTAAACATGTTATCATAACAATTAGTATCAATAGTAAATTCTTGTTTATCGTTGTAATCAGTCCAGCATTGCACTTGCTTTGCACAACACTACCAAAACCATGCTGCCTGGATTCGCAGTCTACTGCGTTAATTAGATGACAGGGTTTAACTCAGCAGCTAGGATTCACATTTCAGTTTGACGCCACTTAGTGAAAAGCTTCTCTGAACTTGATGACATGATTTCTACTAGGACGGGGAAGAATATGAGGGCCAATTTTGTGTCAAATTTGTCAATTTACGAACAATATCAAAGATAATTAATATACTTGTTAATGGGGGCAAATTTGAGACAAATTGTCCTAGTATAGATTTATTAGTAGATTTATTAAAAAAATATATACATAAAGCTAAAAAGACACCCAACTGAGGTGGCTCTACTATACACAGAGTAGAGAATGTATTATCATGAGCAGCAAGTAGCAAAACGAGTGCACACTACTTTCACAGCCAAACAATGAACGTCGTGACCCCAAAGCCGCACATTATTTGCCGTCTTGTTAATCCGGCTCGTATGGTCAAGTGCCGCCGTTCTGACTAGATCCGTGAGACAACACCGAGTCTCACAGTGGGAGAACAAGGAAATATATTTTAAAAAATTTCAAAAGGAAAGATGCTCTAAATCGAAAGAGGTCCTTTGGTTCCGGCAGCCTTCAACCTAACCTTGCTTAGGAGGATTTGCCTACTTCAAGTTTGAAATTCGGTTGCATCAATAAGGTCATGAACCTCAGCGCGTGCATCTATTCAAAGGGATTTCACGCGATGTTTTGTACTGGACTTGCGAAGAATAGTTCCAGGCAGCTTTCGAAGTGCCAACACTGCAACTGCCATGAAAACACAAAAACTTGCCGTCCGACCGATGACATACATGTGCAAACTACATGGGGACAAACAACTGAAACCAAACCAATCTCATTAGGCACTACATGATCAGTGGCTTATGTTGAAAACCTGCAACTTAAGTTTCGAGCCACCCTGTATGTATCCGATATTCTGTGCTGTCTATGAGCTTCATATGTTGCCCTCCAATTTGTTTATGTGAAGTACACTAGCTCCACGTCTACGTAAAGTTGCCAGGAACGAATAAACAGTGGTGCACGGGGCTGTTTCGTCGGAGATGGATTATAGTGAACGCCAGCCATTGTAGCCTATGCGTCGGCGGGTACAGTGCACCAGATTCCACTAGAGACAATCGTT